ACCCTTCAGGCAGCTACCACTCTTGAAATTTGTGTCATACATTCACTTGCTTTTCTTGCTAGTTTTGGCACGCACATATATCTCAAAACCAGAAGTTGGCAAACTTTTTCTCCAAGAGCCCGAGAGTTAATTTTTTAAAGCCTTCTGTGTTGTGGCTGTTGTACTCTTCTTTTGTAGGAAGTGTGTAAGTGAATAGAATTTCAGTTATCTCTGAAGTTTCCATAGGGAAAGAAGATTCCCTGGTAAAAGACCCAGTTCCTGCACATTTCTGGAACCAAATAAAGTTTTATTTATAAAAACTTTATTTATAAAAAGAGCCCATAGGCCTGATTTGCCTTGGGGGCTGTAGTTTGCTGACCCTTCCCCTGAATAATATATTATTTAGTTTTGCCTGTTTTGATCTTTATACAAACAAAATTGTACTAGAGACTCTCATGTATGTGTTCCTTTGCGACTTTTTTTCTAATCTAACATTACATTTTGGTGACTCATCCATGTTATGCATATCACCTTGGTTCGTTTTCCTGTTGGGCAGTGCTTCCCCGAGGGACTACACATACCACAGGTTAGCCAGTTTATCCACTGGTGGCAGACAGCACTGCTGCCAACGTTCTGGTACATTTCTCCATATACCTGTGCAGCAGTTTCTGTCCGCTGTGTATACTGAGAGGTGAAGAATGTACATGTTCAGTTTTACTTGAGTAATCCATGTTTTTTTGAGGAGTTTTACTAATCCATGAAGGCACCATCACTCCACGTTTGCCCAGACTCTCGGTGTCACCTGGCCTGTGTCGCCTTCTGTGAATATAGAACGGTAATAATGGTGAAGCCGTTTCCACATTGTTGGCTGAGGATTAAAAGAGCAGCATGGCCCCAGGCCCAGCTTCCGTCTTCCTCCCTCCTGGCTCACTTGTAGCTTGTGGTCCTGCAGCTTGTGTTTGGCAAATGCCCAGGCACCTTGATGATGGTGACAGGGAATGATAGCTATACCAAGGCAGGACAGAAGCGATTCTCCAGCAGCTCAGGCTGACAGGGAGTGGGGAGGGCAGTGCAGCTGCCACTGCAGAATCCTAATGAGTTCCTGCAAGGCCAGCATACTGTGTCCCCAGAGTGCACAGGCCCTTTGTTCTAAGCCTGCAGTGCTGAGTGCACAGTGCATGTTGTATGGGTAGGAGTAATAACCCAGAGTTGGAGACCAAGCTGTGCAGCCCAGAGGGCTTCAGGAAGCATAGGTTGCGACGAGTGACCCTTATTTTATCTTGGGAGACTGGAGAGAACTAGGTAGGGTAAATTTGATGGACTTCAGTTATAAGCTCAATTTTGCTAGTACTGTAGAAAATGCATTACCATTATCATCACTGTAATCTCACCAAATCCAAAATATATCATACATACCATGAGTTTGGGCAAGGGACAGGATGAGGGAGAGTGAGTTTGGTGGGTATAAGTGGTGGGCTGTGGTCCAGTGCCCATAATTTGCTCTTCCAGCCACCTACCCCCATTCCATGTTATAAAAGGAGGTAGGCAGAGGTCTGGCGTCATGGCTTAGAGTGAGCACTGGGAGGTGGGAAAGGCTTGGAGGGTAGCTGCAGTTTGAAGTCATGCCAATTGGCTAGATTAATGTTTCTGAGCATGCTGCTTAATTGAAGTAAGCAGCAATCTTAGGAGAGACAGCACACTTCCCCAATACATGGAAATGTCACTTGAGGCACACAGTAAGTTGCATCTCGACTTCTACTGATTCAACACTTTGCTTCCAAGAAGATGTGTCTGGATTCTGCTAGGCTGTCTTCCCTCTGAACTCAAGTAAGAAAAAAGGAATAAATATGATTTCAAAGTATCAGAGAGCTATAGAAATAATGAGAACTAGAGAGACTAAAAGTCCAGAGAGATGAGCGCTCAGAGGTGAATTGGCAGCACTCCCTGGGGACCGTCTGCCAATTCTGGGTGCATGCTACAGGCTGGGGCTTGGCTCCAGTAGAGAGATGCTGCTGAGAGGAAGAGATGTCACCAACACGTTTAGCAGTAACACAAGGCCAAAGTGGCAAATTGGAGATGAGGGGTTTTAGACTTAGAGCTGAGTTTCCTCATAAAACACTTGCTGAATTCGAGGCTACTGGCAAAAGGTAAAAGATCAGGCCAGACATTTCAGAGAGGCAGAGTACAATTCTCTCACTTACAGGGCAGAGAAGGCAAAGTCCTGCAACAGAGACGGAAGACAAAAATAAAGGCATAAAAATCTCAGAGTGAGTGGGGAAATGATGCTCATACCTGCATAACCCTTTGCCAGCCACTGACTCATTCTCAGAGCAGCTAGAGGCCTGACATCAGGCACTTGGTCCCCAGGAAGGGGTGCTGGGGGCCAGCAGAGGCCAGCAGATGTAGTTTGAGGGACAAAGTAGGAGATTGGAGTGGCTAGAGGCACTTGACCAATTTCTCTTTCAAGACTTGCTGAATTCTTGCTGAAGACAGGTGGATTTGGAAGGCTATAGAACTAAGCCCAAAACTTCTCAAGACCAAAACTGAATCTCTGCCATGTTTTAGGGCAAAGAAGACAAAGATTTGTGAGGCTGTCAGTTGAAATCCCATAGGGCCTGCCCTAAACACAGCGATTACTGGAACCAAAAACCAGCCCTGACCCAGCTCTGTCCCAGAGTAGGGATCACTTATCTACCTTCCTAGTCTAGGATAGAAAAAGGGAAAATTTCTCTGATGGACATCGTGCAATAAAATTTGTTAGATATGCAAAGGGACAGTGTCCTATGCCTAGAATCAGGAAGGAAAAAACTAGGGGCCGGGGATTTAGCTCAGCAGCATAAGCACTTGCCTGGCAAGTGCAAGGTCGTGAGTTTGATCCCTAGTACCAAAAAAAAAAAAAAAAAAAAAAGTAGGCAATAAAAATATTCAGATCATGGATTATAAAGTAATTATGATTGATATATTCAGGGAGGTGGAGATGGATGAAAGGAACAGTATCCTCAGGGACTTAGAGTTTAATGATTTAAAATATCACATGGATATTCTAGAATTTAAAAATATACTATCTGGAATTAAGAACTCAGTAGATAGATCTAGCATCAGATTCGTTACATTAGTAGCCAAAATTCTTAAACTAGAAAACATCAGGAAAAAATTACCAAAATTGAAGTAGAGAGATCCAAGAATAAGGGAAAATAAGTATAAAATGTGTTGGGCACCCTCAGAAGATCTAGCACGTGTGTAACTAGAGCCCTACATGGAGAGACGAGACAAGTTACAGAGCAGAAGCAGCATCCAGGGAGAGAGTGGCTGAGGATTTCCTAAAAAGTGATGATGAGGTCACACATTGAAGGAACTAAATGCACCCCTAAACAGGGTAAATAGATAAATAGTTTTTGAAATCAATTAATGTTTCCTTTGTTAATATATACATCATATCCTTTTTAGACATTTTCTAGTTTTATGATCTTGAAGTCAATTGACCTCGTTGAGCCTCAGTTTCTCTTTCTGTAAAAATGAATTCTACCCAAAAGATTTTATGAAAAAGTACCTGGCAAACTTCTAGTTTCTGCTCGGTGTGGTGGTTCAGGCCTGTAGTCCCAGCACTTGGGAGACCGATGCAGGAGGATCTTCTGTGAGTTCAAGACCAACCTGAACTACATATCAAGACTTTGTCTCAAAAAAACAAAACAAAACACTGCTAGGTTCTAAAGAAAATCCAGTATCATTTTTATTCCAGGTTGACTGGCTGGCACACCATCTGTTTGGCACAAGCTTGAGAGCTGTGTCCTCTGCTGTGCGAGGCCTCTGTCCACGGTCATTCAGAATCCTGCCAGCCTCGAAGGACTTCAGCACATTGCTGTCCCAGCCCGTGGCTTAGATCTGTATTTTCCACACTCCATTCCCCTGCCTGTACTTCTTACTCATGTCTGGTGGCATCAGGCAGGTCCCTTTACAGACTGTGCTTGGTAGCTTTGTGTCTTTGGTTAGCAGAATGTCTGCCGTGTGGTAAATGCTTCATAAATGTTTGTGGAAGGAAGCAAAGGCAGGCAGGCTGGCTGGATATCACCCTTTTACTCCAGAGGCTGACCTGCAGTGATGTCCGTGGGTTCCCTAGGTCCTCTGGCTGCTGGTTGGGTTTGGCCAGTGGGAAAGGGCTCAGAGAGGGACGGGGGAAGGTGTTTGTTCCCCCGCCACTCCCACCTGTGAGTCACATGTTTTACAAGTCTTTCAACTGAGGGTCACCTTTTTTTTTCAAGGCAGCCTGCTCTTTGTGACTCTCTCCTTTTAGAATCTAGCATCTGTCTGTCCCATCTTACTTCAAGGCCAAGGAGTGGTGACAGTGAGTATCTCTTATAGCAGTGGTAGCAAACATGTAGCATATGAGTTGTTTTTAAGACAAACGATGTTAAAGTGTGAGTTGTTTTTTTCTAAACTAAAACCTCAGTATTCAGGTTTGAGCGTAGTGTTGGCATTTTGTAATAAATAAGCGGGTCTTGGGGTACGGTTTGGAAACTTGTCTCTGAAAGGTTTGCCATCACTGCCTTGTGAGGTCCTTACCCTGCTCACAGCGTATGATTAGTCTCTGTAGGTCAGTCTGTACCAGATTCTCCTAATTAGAGAACCTTCTTCCTGTTGGGAAGCGGTGGCACCCACTTCTTATAGAGACTGTAAATGGAGCTGTGGTGCCTGGAAAAGCCTAGAAATGCAGTTCCTCTGAGAACAGATGCTTCAACTGGCCGCGAGGGTGTCCTGATGCACTGCAATTTGGGGACACTAAACAGCCATTTGGGGAAGTATTCCCTGCTCAGGAAAGCCTTTCTCCTACCTATTTTAGACTGACTGCTAGCTCCCTGAAATTGCCCTTAGCCATGGTTCCTGTGTAATTCAGCACAGGACACATCAGGAGCACTTAGTGGGCTGTGAGTGCTGACCCCACTGGCAGGAGATGTTCTGAGGAGGGACAGTGGTGTTCACCAACTCAAGTGTTCACATTTCTGCTCTGGGCTGTTTTCTTCCAGGTGATCATAAACAGCACAATCACACCGAATATGACCTTCACCAAAACGTCACAGAAGTTTGGGCAGTGGGCCGACAGCAGAGCCAACACAGTGTTTGGTCTGGGGTTTTCCTCTGAGCAGCAGCTGACAAAGGTACGTAGTCCTCTCCACTGTGTGGTGGCACCATGCTGGGTGCCGTCCTGGAATGGAGTGGTACTTGGTGAGCAATGTTCCCTGTCAGCTGCCGTTTCACTCTCTGGCATCACAGGGCTGCCAGGGCAGGTGCCTTTCCACAACACCAGGTTTCTTGGAGCAGCTGGTTTGGGAAGAGAAATTCATCTCTGAGATGCTGCTTTGGACCTGAAGCCGCAGTATGGGGAAGCAGCAAGCCCAGTGTGCCCCACACTGGGTATCAGCCCCTGCTTCCTGGGCCCAGCGGGTCAGGATACACTTGGAGAGGCTGACTTGTTTGCCCACAATGTGCCAACTAGATTTTAGGTCCCCTGTGAGAAAAGCGTTGTTACCTTACTGATCCTGATCAGCCACAGTGCATCTTGTTATATCTTTTAAAGGACGGCGCAGTGTGTCTTAACAGCTATCGATGCCAGGGACTCTGCAGCCCTCAGAGAGGAAGAGTCAGGCAGTACTCAGAGTTCTTAATCTGGGGTCCCTGCATCCCTCCAGTGCCGCACAGTTGAGTTGGGAGGTGCAGTGTGTGTCCCTTTATTTGTTGGGAGAGTATCTACAGCTTTGATTTGCTTCTCCAGTGGTCTGGACACCTGTGGGCAGCTAGAAAGGCCCCGAAGGGCAGAACATGGCTGACCACAGACTTGGGGAAATTGAGGGACAGACTGCTTCTGAGCACCCTCACGCAGCCATTCAAAGGAATTGGAAGCCTATTTTAGTAAAGTTTTCTTTTAGGTTGCTATAGGAGCTCTGGGTAGGTGGGAAGAACTTTTGGGGTGAAATAATACTGAATAGTTGACATGACACAGGGAATTATTGAGAGAATGTCAGTTTCTCAGAGAACTTTGGGAACGGTTGAAAGTCTAGGCCTTGGGAAAGCTCGTAAGTCCAGGAGGGCTGCCTGGACTCCTGGATGAATATACACTGCCTTCTTGCTCTGCCAACATGATGGTCCTTCAGATCAGAGATGCAGTCCCTGTTCCTGAAGACCTTTACAGAATCCCAGATTCTGAGGAGTTAACAGAGTTGCCTGCTACAGACTCACCTGCTTGGTTCCCTGTGTGTACTAAGGACAGCTTTCACAGAAGGTGGACTTAGGTGACACAGGAAGCCACTTGACAAGGGCCTGCTAGTCTGTACCCTCCACTTGTCCAGTGAATACACATGCATATGTACATACACACACACACACACACACACACACACACACACACACGTCAGCTGCCCCAAACCAGTACCAGGTGAATTCCCTGATGGGCACCCCAGAGGTCCTCCTTTGCATCCCAGGTACTTCTGTGAGGACTATTCCCTTGGAAGCCTGGAAGCTCACACCAGCCTGGTAGCACTCGGAACATTCTTTGCCATGCTGTCCACTTGAAGAAGCATTGCTTCCTGGCTTCTAAAATTCCCAGATCTCTATGCCTCAGAATACAGAGTAGGAAGCAAAAGTGTGCGGGTAGGTCATTGAATATTGTTATTGTTTAGCTCTAAAACGGCTCCCAGGGGAAAAAAAAAAAAGAAAATAGTAAAATGCCCTCCAGAGCTTCATGTATTTAGAAGGTTATTGGATTATGTGGGTTCCATAGCTGACTTGATGGTAGGCAGTAAGTTTTAATCAGAAAAGGTGGGTCCCTGTAAGCATGACCAGGAAGGGCATGTTCTCTTCCCAGATCCTGACTTGATTCTCACTGCTTCTTAGCCACCACGCTTTTCCTCCCTTGCTTTCTTGATTTTGGAGCAGACAACTATAGACTAACATGTGAGCCAAAATAAATACCTCTCTTCCTTTAATTTGCATGTGCTAGATATTTTGTCCCAGTGACAAGGAAAATAAATAAGACAGATTTTAGTATAAGAGTGTGATTGGTGCTGTGGCTACCTAACTGTATGGTTTAGAAGTCTTTGGAACTTCTTTGTGGGAAGAGTTAAGAAAGGTTTGGAGTTGCCACCTAGAGAAGTCTTAGAATACTGGAAGATAAATTTAATGGGAGTTTCTGGTCAGAACTCAGAAAACCAGGCTCAAGTGCTTTCAGTTGGGAACAAGCACTCCATTGGCAGAGAGACTTAAGACTATGTGGGTCATGCTCTGGCAAAACATCGTCTACATTTTTCTCATGTCTTAAGACTTTGCAGGAGACTAAGATTAAAGACAGCATACTAATTATTCTGGCAGAGGAAATTTTAAAGCAGCCCAGTGTTCAGTCTGTAGTAAAGATACTGTGTGCTGCTTTTAGCTAAGTTTATACTGAACATTAGGAACGTAAACCCTGTTTGAAAAGTTTTCAATTTTCCCATAAAGGAAGGCCCTGCAAAGGTTTGTCCAAGAACTTAACTGTTGAAAAGAATAGCATTAAAAAGAAGCTCAAGCTAGGACAATAGAAACATCTATTACATTACAGCAGGACAATAGGAATGTTATCTTTATGGCATCCCAGGAGTCAGCAAGCCTCCACCCATTGAATGCTCAAGGGTGTAAGGTGGTAAAGCTTTCATTTGAGAAGAGAATCCCATTGCACCATGCTCAATAAGGACCACCTAGGGAATTGGTTTGCAGAATTTGTTTCACACTGCTCAGTCATCCAAGCACAGACCACTGCAGCTGTGATTCAGGGGTGCCCAACTACTGTTTCAGCTGGAGCAGACCTTGAAATCATCCATGTGGTGCCAGCCTTAATGGGCATGCAGAGTGCAAAAGTTATGGGGTCAGGGAGACTTGCACCAAGGCTTCAGAAAAAGGTCTCTGAGGCAAGGCAGTATGCCTTTGAGAGGGAAGTGTGTGAAGTTGTAAGAATGAAGCCAAAAAGATGATGGAAGAAACCACAGGGAAATGGGGAATCCAGGAATATAGAACGTAAGAGGAAAGCCAAAGAAGTAAGCAAAGCCAGCCCAAGAGAGAAGCCTTAAGAGCTCCAGCCACTTGCAGTGATGTAAGGACGGGGCCACCCAAGCCCTCTAGAGTGCATCTCATCAGCACAACTTGCCCTGGGGACTGCACATGGAACTACAGAATTTATGTTTGCCCTACTTTGTTTCCATCTTGGTCTAGTTTATTTTCTATTTCCTTGCTCTTCCCTTTTGAAATGGGAAATTTTACTCTGGGCCACTGTATGTTAGAAATGTTTAACTTTCTTTTTGATTTTTATAGGAGCTCACAGCTAAAAGTTAGCTTTGAATCTCAGAGTAGTCTTTGGACTTGGGCTTTCCAGCAGTGTTCTATTAGGATTTTGGTCACTGTTAGAGATGAACTAAATACATAAATTTCATAAAGAGACATGCATGAGTTTTGGGGGGGCCTGGGGCAGGCTGTTCTGGTTCAGATCTAAAATGACCCCCGAAGCTGTGTATGTTTGGAAGGTGGTTGTAATATAGGATGCTACTGCTGACTTGCTGTTCTGTTGGGAAGAAGTGGGTCACTGTGGGCAGGACCTGGAAAGTTGTATCTCCCTTCCTGATTCCTCCCTTGATTCTTTCTGCTTCCTGGAAGTCAAGAGGTAAGCACCTTTCCTTCCACCATGTCCCTCTGCCATGCTGTCTTGCTTTGGAGTCAGCCAACTGCATTGCTAAAACTAGGGCCAAAATAAGCCTCTGTTCCTTTAAGTTGTAAATGTTGGGTATTTTATCCCAGCAATGAGAAGAGAGTGAGACAGATGTAATGGTGAGAGATGTCCTCTCCACCCCAGTCTGGGTACTGTGGCCCTGGCAAATATGATGCTCAGCAGCTCAGCAGAGCTCTGCAAGGTCTGCTGCTTCTGGCTGATAAGGGCCTTTGAGGACCTGAGAATCCTCTGGTAGCTGAGCTCTTGCTCGACTGAATCTGCAGAGGGGAGTTATCTGCAGACTGCTGTTTGCAGCAGCCTTGTGTGGTATAGGAAACACGTGAGTGGGGGCACTGGCAGACTCAGGCTGGTTGTAGGAAGAGGATGAGTCACTGTTGCTTCTGGGAGCAGGGGCCAGCATGGTCAGCTGTCACTAGGCGCTGAGACACCAGACCCATTCACATTGCCATTTCCCTAACTCGTTATGACTAACCATCCGGCTTTGTTTCTCCTCCCACATAGTTTGGCTTAACCACTTCCCCAGGGTTCAGTGTAGAACCTGAGACCAGGCCACCTCTCCTGGGCACCCAGCACAATGAGACTGTCCGGCTGAGCCCACAGGAAGAGTTTCCCCTTGTCATGGTCTTCCCAGTAACTGGCAGAGCAAAGCTGTGGCAGTGCGTGGCATGTGAGGGAAGCTGCGGCGGGTTGTAGAGTATCCTTGATTTTGATTTAGGAGTGGGGATGCTCTTAGCAGCCACCATTGGAAATCTTCGTAGGTCACATTCGAGTTTATGGACTTTATCTTCTGATCTGAGGAGGATTTTAAGCTCAGAAGAAAAATGAGTAGATTTGTACTTTAGATAGATTCCCCCTCCCCTTTTGGCAGTAGGTCAGATTGGATTGTTTTAGTTGAGGGTAGTGCTGATGCAGATTTGGAGAGATTTTAAAGTGGCTGAGCCAAATTGGCAGAACTTGTTGAGTGAATGAGGGAGGCAGAGTCTGGCACGGTGATGGGTAGAGGCAGTGACGCCCTCTGCTGAGATGGGTGCTGTGAGGGCAGCAAGCATCTGAGCAGAGTGGAAGCCACTGTGACGGTGACTGATTGAGTGGCCAAAACCTCTGCATAAAGGGGTGCTGTCTCCTGCAGGGGTATCTGGATGGATAGGAGCACCCCCAACACCCAGTGGCCCCCTGCATCCTGGCTTATGACCAGAGGAATGATGTTGGGAGCTTTGGCCCACTGAGAAGCTCCTAGGTCCTGCTGCTACTGATCCTGCCCAGGCTGGAAGTTCTTTCCTGATGGTTTAAGTCACTCACAGCTTCCTTGAACCATCTCTTCATCTTTGGAGGAATCGCAGTAGCTAGGAATGATGAACAGGGCAAGTTTCTATGAAAAGAATCAAAAGGAAAACTCAAGCAAAAACTGGAGCAGGCTGTTAAAGTTCAGTTCTTTGTGCTCCAGAACTGAAGAGACCTTGAGCTGTGCCAGTTTCCAGGGGTGGCTGCTTCTAATTTTTCCCAGACAGAAGAAAATGTCCTGTCATTAAGGAGGAGTGTCCCGTCTTCCCGAGACTCAGGCTCCACAGCACTTGAGTCTCCACCCTGTGACTGTGACCTGCCATTAGCACAAAGGCTTCTCAAATAAGCTCTCAGTTGTCGCCTCTGTCCAGAATATTTCAAATCAGCCTTTCTCTTTCCTTCAAAGTGAATGATTAACCACATACTGATAAATTACTGTCAAGTAAGGCTGGCGGCTTGACAAGTGACAATTAGCTAGCACCAAAGGAACTTGGGTCTGAAGGGTTCCCAAGGAGCATGCTGAGGGACAGCTGTGGCTGATAGTGCTGCCTTCCCAGCAGCCACCCACGGCCCTGGAGGGGCTGGTAACCAAACTCTCAGGCTGGAGAAAGGAGCGTGGTGTGGAACTTCCACTTAGGAACACTACGCGCACTTCTCTCTCTAACCCCCGGAAAGAAAATAGATACCTTGCTTTCAGTAGCCCTCATTAGGACCACTTCAGAACCACCCTCTAGAAAGCATCACAGGGAAACTTTCCACTCTTTTAACTATGCTTTCCAAAATTAGTTGAAGCTGTGTGTGAACGGGGCCTCATCTGTCCACCCACGGGAGAAGACATAAGACCTTGGCGTCCTGAAGAATGTTGAAAAAGGGATTTGCGTGTTCAGATGAAAAGGAAGAACTTTGGAAAAAAAAGACATAGGAGGGAAAATGAAACACAAGAACGAGGCATGGTAGTGTGTGTACCTGTAATCTCAGCACTCTGGGAGGCTGAGGCAGGAGAATTGCCAGTTTAAACCCAGCCTGGGCAACTTAGTAAGACCCGATCTCAATGAATGCATGGATGGATGGGATGTTTTTAACATATGTACTGCTAAAGTGAGCACAAGGGGTGGTTCTTTTAAATAATGGGGGGACTTGAGACTTGGAGGGTGGTTATTAAAATTTAGATTCTTTCTGGCATCTCACCCCAAGTGATCACAGTTCTGCGCTGGGCTTTACCTCATTTGCCATAGGCACGTAGAGACGCATTCTACCAGTAAGAGCCTGTATGAGAGAGCCATGCAGGGTGGAGTCCCAAGTGCTCAAGTGGCTTTTGATTTTTACCCATTTCAGTTATCTCACCTCGCTGTGATCTTTTTACCTATTTCAGAGATCTCCACTCCCATCACTCACTCCATTATCTCAGTGTAGGAAGAATATTGCCCAACCTCCTACCTCTCTGTCTCGGAATGTAAGGAGCCATTTTCTGAACAGATGATCATCCTTTGGATGTTTTAGTTAGAATGTGTTTGGCTGCAAGTAAAGAAAACTTATCACAGTGCTTCAGCAAGCCGAGTTTTTCTTTTGCAGAAGACAAGTCCTGAGTGGGCATTGGCAGCACTGGCCCCATAACCTCGGGCCTGAGAGTGGTGTGTGTTGCTGGTTGGTGTCTTCTCTCTTTAGCTCTTCCCTTGTGCTGAGATGGCTTCTCAAGCTGTGTTATCACATCTATATTCATGGCAAGCGGGAAGAGGCAGGAGGGTGGTGCCACACGCTCACCTTGGAAACTCCTGAGGAAGAATTCTCAGCTCTCATTGCAGTACTGGGTCCCTAGCCCACTCCTCCCAAGATAAAGAGGTTTCTGTAATTGACTTGGACTAGGCTTTCATTTTCCATCTCCTACAGACAAATTTGAGATTCCATTAAACTAAGAGAAAAAGGATGTTTTTGTTTTTTTGAGACAGGGCCTTTGCCAGGACCCAGTGCAGCTCCTGAGGTTCAGGACCTGGAGAGGATGAGAAAAATAAAGAAAAGGCAAAGCTGGGGTCAGGTGGAGCCCTTATCCTCCTGATGGGAGGAAAGCACTTGCTCAACCAGTGCAGCATGTTTATTTATACTCCAAAGAAGAGTATCAATTCCAGGCCCACTGCCTAGCAACTTGTTTGCCTGGCAGGCCTGGGGCCCTGCCTTCTCAGAGCTGGAACAACTTGTTTACATAGTTTATTTTGGTTTCTCTGCTTTTTCTGGGCTGGACTTACTTCAGCCCCACACTTACAGTCAGTCTCCAGCTTCAACAGGTCAGCTCCCAGCAGGCCTTGCTTTTGAATCCTCCTGACTCAACCTCCCATGTGCTGAAATTACAGGCATGCTCCAGGACGCCCAGCAAAAAAGGGAATTTTGGATAAGCAGACAGCATTGTCTGCCACAGGTCTTCAGTGGTGAGGCCAAAGAGATGGCACACGTAAAAGCAAACACTGCTCGCCTCTCATTTTCCATGAGGATGATAATGATTTTGATTAAAATTATTACCACAAAAGACTACAGAAAATGACCTTAATAAATAAAGACTTGAGAAGGGGCAACGTATTTCAAAAACCTTTGATGTGCATTTTATTCACAGGAATGTGTTATATAGAAATTATTGTAACTGAGTACAAAGATATAGTTACAAAGGTTTTCTTCATCGCGTCATTGATAATGGGGGAAAGACGGGGAGGTGAAGAGGCAAGGTAGGGCTGGAGAGCCAGTCACAGGAATGTGGGGAGGGGGAGAGGGAGGAAGGAATCTCAACCTCCCACAGTAGGAAGTTGTTTAAATTACCCAGTGTACCTTTCAGTATATTCTTAATTGTGCAGCAACAGAGATAATATGGTAGAAGATGGTATAACTGCTTGGAAGGGTTGCCATACTGTTAATTTCAAAAGTGGTTATAAATGACATGCGCAGTGTCATTCTGTTTTCTAAAAGAAATATGTGAGATGAGTGCATAGATACAGGTGTCTTCAGTCTGTGTGGTTAGTGCTTATCTCTTGGTGTTAGGGCCATAGGTTTTTAAAAATGCACTTTTTCTAAACTGTGTTTTTGAAGGTGACAAGCATATATTAAGTAATAGGGAGAGAATGTTAGATAACCTGAACTTGGAGTTTCCCACAAAGCACCTGGCCCGGGTTCTTAATATGGACTGGAGGGTTACTTCTGGATTTTCATGACTGTGGATAATGAATGCTAGTTATGATCATTACAATGAAGGCCTTTTTTTTTTTCCTTTTTCATGTTCTTTCTTTTCACAGAATAGTTTCCCAGAAGTGATAGCACTGAATCAGTAGGTATAAAGGGTTTCTTTCCTACTCATGATTCGCTTTTCCAAATTGCTTTTCAGTGGGCCTGTACCATAACCCAGCGCTACCAGAAAGATCTTGCCAGTGCTGGGGTTTATAATTGTATTTAGTGTTTGCTAATTTAACAGGCAAAAATGGCCCCTCATTATTTTGATTTACATTTCCAGGAGCCTGAATGATCTTTTCTGTAAGTTGTTCAGTTGTTTTATTTTTAATTCATGAATTTTGCCATTTATCTGTTGGGGTGTTCACATTTTCCTTTTCATTTTGTACAAACTCTTTCAATAGTAAAAACAATAGCTCTTTTTCTGTGGGCCTAGCCCAGCTAAAGATATTTCCCCCAGGCTTTTGTTTTCCTTCTGAGTTAGTCCTGCCTGCTGATTTTGTATTCAAACATTTACAGAACTGTCACTTTTGTGATTTTTTTTTTTTTTTTTGTTATTTCTTCCAAGTTTAGAAAATTACCCTTTCACCCCTCAAGCAGATGAATGTTCAATTCTGTTTATATCCAGATTTTTAAAGGTTAGGTTTTTTGCATGCTTCCCTCTTGAACTTATTAGTGATGTATCACGCCAGAAGTTTTTGGAGAGCCTGGACTCACAGACCGGTGAGTCCTCAGCAAGACCTTGGGATTCTCTGCAGCCCGCAGCCCGCTAGCTCCTCTCGTTTCTCAGCAACCATGTTTGAGCTTCTCCTTGTTTTGTAATAGGACACTGCTTGTTAGCACTGCCCGTTCTCTGTTCAGTGCATTTACTAATTAAAATCCATTGCCTTTTGGTGGCCGTGAGCCAGTGATGAATGATTGCCTTGAGATTTTAAAGAAATTTTTTACTATGAAAATACTAAAACATTAAGAAGTGGAAGGCACAGAATACAAAGCACCTTGTACATACCACCTAGATTTCAAGTTATTAGCATATTCCATCTCTTTTATTGTTGTTGAAGTCCTTTATAGCAGACTGAATGATGATTAAGCATCTAATCATAAGCTACGTGTTGCGTCTTACTGTTTTGTGTCATAACCCTTTAAAACCTCGAAGATTCCTTTCTTCAAATTTTTTGGGTGTTTTTCTTTTTCATGACACTGACTTTTGAGTATTCCTGAACCAATACCAATAGTGTTTGTGAAGGTTTTAATAGATTCCTTCTGGAATATAGCTATGTTTCTTCTATTGCTTTTGTGTTCATTACTGTTAATCTAGGATTTTTAATTTGTTTTTAATGTCTCATCATCAAACCAGCTTCCATCATTTGAGAGTTACTCTTGCTTTGTCTTGGACAATAATGCTTACTGAAAAAAAAAAAGCACTCTTTATATTCATTTCTTTTTAATCTCAAATAAAATTTTTCTGGATTTATATGGAACTTACTGGGTTAAAACTGGATACAAAATAATAAAGATGGCTTATGAACAGCAGCCATGAATAAAATTAATCAAAACTTTAATAACTATTCTTCATGTTCAGTTTGCAGAGAAATTTCAGGAGGTAAAAGAAGCTGCCAAACTCGCCAGAGAAAAGTCCCAGGAAAAAATCGAGACCTCAAGTAATCATTCCCAGGTGAGTAATTTGTCCACAGAATAAATTGAGCATGATCAGTGATTGAGATGTCTCATTCCTTGTCATTCTTGGCGAGAAATAGAGGATTTTAGCAATCAGGCATTCTGAAGGCCTTTTTAACTATTAGCCTGCTCACAGTGAGATGGATGCGACATGTTTTTATGAAGAAGTGGTACTGTGTTTTTTGAAAGAAAATGGTTGATGGAATTAGAGCTACTGCCGGTTCCCAGCCCCTGAGCAACATTCTGTGCATGCTTCCTCACTGTGGGCGTGGCCAGGGCCCCCTTAGGATAGTCAGCAGCAGCCTTGTGCCCAGTAGAGAGGAAATTTGAAACCGAGAGCCCTGTGTCTCTCTCCCTCTTTTCACAAAATTCAAGTGGGAGATGGTGTTCCCTCAGCCGTGCCTCAGCTGGAGGAGAGCTGTGTATGCCAGTGATTGAGTGGTCTGTCTGCTTAGAAGTGTGATGATTGACTGAAAAGGACCCATGTTACCTGGTATAAAATAACAGCATTCTTGGTGTCTACATTGTATATAGAGTGGCAAAGAAAGGCCTGGCAGACAGAGATTCAGGGAAAGGGACCTCTCAGGACCAGCATGATGGCCAGGCAGGACGGGACCTGCAGATATGCCCAGAATACTGCGTGAGCGAGACTGCCATTCCTCAGGAGTAGGCAGCTTATTTACTAATGGTGTGCTTGTGCTTGAGTAGTCAGTGGACACTGGAGGTATCCATGACCATTGACCGAGTCACAGCATTGGTGAGGAAGGGAAAGAGTGATGTCATGGAGGCAGGAGAGGGACAGAAGCAGCCGCAGTTCAGATGAGGAAGGGACAGACATTGGGGATAGCGCCTACGACAAAGAGCAGGAGGCCTGGGTGTCTGGAGCTGCCCGGCTCTACTGTAGCCCTGACCATCAGCCTCCCAGAGCAGTGACAGAGCCTGGGAAGGTGAAGTCAGCAAAGAAGGCAGAGAAGGTCCGGCATCCCTCCCGCCTGCCGGCAGGGGCAGCTTCGGCATTTGTGGCTCGGAGGAGGGCAGGAAGCACCTCGGGCCCTGGCTCTGCCGGAGACTTGGCAGCTTGGGTTGCTCCACAAGGGCAGAAGTAGGTCTTTTTTTTTTTTTTTTTTTTAAATAATATTTGGCTTTTTCCCTGTGCTGCCTCCTCAGTTCCTTGTTTAATTTTAAGACAAGGTCTAGCAAAGTTACCTAGTTTGAGTTCAAATCTGCAATCCTTCCTCCTCAGCCTCTCAGAGTGGTGGCAGCATAGGTGTGTGCATGCGTGGATCTGTCTTGAGTTTTGTTCCCAGAACTGAGCCTGGGCTTGTCATACAAAAGGTACCCCTGGGGATTTATGGAAATGGAAGGAGATGAGGCTGCAGGTGGACAGAGCCCTCCTGAATCCATCTAAATAACTTTAATCTAAATGCTAGTAATTATTAATTTAATATACTGATTACTTAGTAATCTCTGCACAGCTATAAAACTGTACACAAGTCTTATAGAAATGTTCCATAGTGTAGAGACTTGCTGATACACTGTCTTGGTCTTGCTGGAGACAGTGGTACACATTCCGACTACTTAGGAGGCTGAGGCAAGGAGATTTCGAGTTCAAGGCCAGCCTGGGTTCTATAGGGAGAACTCCATCTCAGCAATTAAAAAAAAAAAAATATATATATATATATATGTATGTATATATATATATATTCTTTTTCTGAATATCATAGTATTCTCTTTAAACCTAAAAGTCAGAATTTCTCTGTAGATGGCTTTGTTTTAATATTTGTCCCCCCAAAGTATTTTAAACTTGAAACAAACAAATATATCCAATAAAATGTCACTGTGTATATTAACTACGAATGAATGAGTTTTGCTCTCAAAGCTTTAGTTTTTGTATATCTTTCCTGGTATTTTCCCAAATACAAAGATCATTGTAAATTTTTTCTTTTTATTAGAAATCACTTGCTTGTTTTCCTGAATCTCTTAAAGAATGAATTCTTTGACTCAGTTTTCCCAGTAATTGAAAATTTAAGCAGCCTAATTACAAAAACAATAAGGGTCTTGTGATCATTAAAAAATACATGTTTATTGTATAAATAAAACACATACTACACATGAAGAAGAGAAAAAATCACCAGCTCTGTCCCTATTAAAAGCTGTTTTAACAGCTAAACGGTGTCACACAGTGTGACACTGCAGTGTGTGTTCTTGCCAATCTCTATGTAAGGTTTCTTCAGGATGAATTCTTGAACAGGAGGTCTGGGTTGCAGGCAGGGGTATGTTTAAAGCTTTTGAAGCACACTGTATGCTTCCCCTACAGAAGCGTACAGTTCCCACTCCCACCAGCAGTGAATAAGGGTTTTGCTTCCCACACCATCACTAAGAAAGCTTTGTTGATTTGACAGATGAAAAATGTATCTCCTTGGATTTTTTAATCTTTTATTCTTTTTCTAGTGACATTAAATATTTTTATTTATGTGTATTTTTCTTTGTAAATATCAATAATCCTTTTTTTAAAAAAATATCTTTTTGTATTGATTCCTAGGGTCTTTCTTTTCTTTCTTTCTTTCTTTTTTTTTTTTTTTTTTTTTTTTTGGTACCAGGGATCAATACTTTTTTTTTAATGTGACAGGTTTTGAACATATATAGAACATATAAAGGCAGAGTTGTACAGTGAGCATCTAGGCACCCACAGGTCAGCTTTATTAATTAGGATTTTTTTGTCTTTTTGAGGCAGGCCTCACTTTGCAGTTCAGGTTGGCCTTGTGCTCATTTTGTAATCCAGGCTGATCTCAAACTTGCAGAGATCCTTCTGCCTCAGATTAATTAGGATTTTTGAGCAGCTGTTTTATGTATGCCCCCCATTTCTGTGCTCTTGTCCATATTTTATACCAAATCCCATATGTATCAATTCACCCATTAATCCTTAAGTACACAGCTCTGAAGATAAGAACTCTTTAAGAGTTCTTCTTTGGGTGTGGTGGCCCATACCTGTAATCCCAGCACTCAGGAAGCTGAGACAGGAAGATCATCACAATGTGTTCGAGGCCAACCTGGACTACATAATGAGTTCAGTGCCAGCTTCAACTACATAGCAAGACCCTGTCTAAAAGAAAAAAAAAACTAAAAAAGGAGTTCTTCAGTAGAGAAAAGGCATTAACATTTTGCATATAATATCTGCTGCAGATATTTCCCCCAGGTTTTTGTTTGCATTTTAATCTTGTTCACTATTTTTTTTTTGCAATGCAGGAATTTAAAATTAGTCAAATTTATACATCGTTCCCTTCATAGTACTTTCCTTTGCCTTTATGCTTATTGGATGCTAACTATAAAATCTAAGATCTTACCCAAGACCAGATGAGATTTCACCTCCCTGTGGTCTGGCTTATTGCACAAAACACTTTAGGATATTCATAACAATGCTAAGTAGTAACCGAGACAGCAGTACCCATATCTGGCTCCTGTTTTTTAAACAGATATAATGATCTAACTCCGTATAGGATTTTTAAGTTGTCCCTGCTTTAATCTTTAATACTTCTTCTCTGCCTTCATTCACTATGACTTGTTCTTTTTTATTGTAAACCCACCATCCCTTTTAATCTGTGCTTTCTGTCTTGTGGCACTTAAGAAACCCACATACTCAAGCTTGCTAGCTTTAAATTAAAAAGCAGTGGACCCAGGTGCTCTGGTCAGTAAAGTGGGAGACTTTATGGTCTCCACGTGTAATCTCTAGGGTATTTCCCTATAACTGGTGGCCTTTGTAAGCCTCTTTTACTTGTTAGTAGTCACTGCCTTCTGTTTGAGTAAGCTGGTTTGTCCACAGTCACAAATACGCAGTTGTTCACTGTGCCTAATTTGCTGCCAATGTGGGGACAGCAGTAATGTGTGGAGACATTTCCCTTTGACCAGAAACCTGGGTGTGAAACCCCGTCTTCTACTCAGGCGTCCAGTGTGAACGGGACAGACGATGAAAAGGCCTCTCACGCGGGTCCAGCCGACACGCACCTCAAGTCTGAGAACGACAAGCTGAAGATTGCGCTGACGCAGAGGTGAGCCTGGGTAGAAGCCGGGTCCTGTCGTGTTCGCAGCCGGCACTTCCTGGGGGACAGGGATTCAGAAAATGGAGAGAAGACTGGGCCCTGCTCAGAGCCTCCACTCTGGTCTCCTGATCAAAGGAAAACTGAGGGGCTTCACGTCACGACCCTGCTGTGTGGCCAGCCACTGCAGCACCAGTTAGAATGAGTGTGAACGTGAGAAAGTGTGTATGTGAGCGTGGCTGTGTGAGTGTGTGTGTGAGAGGGAGAATGCAAGTAGTGGGGCAGTGAGCTGTGTGCCAGGGACAGTTCATGAGTGTGAAAGTGTACCTGGGATGTCCCTGTGATTGGACTTTGTTTTTAAGGTGACACACTTATCATTTATTCATGTATAATACGTTTGAGTCTTAAAGATCCAACAAAAACATATAAACCCCAGAAACAATGAAAAATAATACAAAAATACGTGAACGTCAGTGGGCAGAAAGCATCACATGGGTGCATGGTGTATATATTCAGAGAAAAATTTCCTCTACTGTATGAATTGGGACCATAAAATACATAAGAATAAACTCAACAGAAACCAATACAACACTTGCCTGAAGCAATCTTTAAGATGATTTTGAGGTTCATAAATTAATCATTAAACAAAAAAACATTTATGTTTTCTCCTTTAAAGTTTTTTTAGTTGACTGTATTTGTACATATTTATGAAGGATGGTGTGACATACAGTGCCTGGGAACAATGCATAATGTCTGAATAAGTGGCGTATCCATCATTTTACCCAGAGCAGTATGTTCTTTCAGGAAGTGGTAAGAAGCCTTGATATTTTGTAAGCTATCAGTTTTTGCTGAGTAAAGCTACACATTTAACAAGATCCCCAAACTGGAATCAAGAAGATTTAAATTTTTAACAGTGACAGCTGTGCTTATGTTTCTGTGTCTGGAGGGCCAGCCCACGGCTGACTTCGGATCATCTTGCCCACCTGGCCAGGTGCTTCAGCCATCCAAATTTCTCTCTGTGCCTGAGAAACTGACCTCCCAGACTTGACTGTTTAAGAGCTGTGTCATCTTAGGGGCCATCCTAACTTGCCACATTGTACAGATGAGAAAACTGAGTCCCAGCTGGTCAGGTGACTCTCTGACCAAGGTCATGCAGCTATAAATGAGTCTTCCCATTGCCTGCTGCCTACCTTTCACTCAGGGCTGCAGTGGAGAATGTCCCACAGCTGGAGCCACTTCATGGCTGGCCCTTGCTTTCCCAGTCAGCTGGCCTGGCTGGTGGTTGTTGCTTACTTCCTGTCGCCTGGCCTGGGGATCCAGAAAGGATGTGAAACCTTTAGATCCCACAACTACCTTTGGACTCTGGGTCCTTGTCAGGTGAAAGACAAAACTGCCAGATCTGTTTTCTTACTCATCAGGCAGTTATGAAGACTTAGTTGTTTAAGTCATACTGGGCTGCAGATGAAAATGTTCCATCCCTGAAAACAAATGTTTTCAAATCTGAGTTTAATGAACAAGTGATTTACGGGAATGGATGTGAAGCCGTTTCCCTAAATCAGCTTAAATTCTCAGTCACCAGCTCTAGAATTCATCAGATAATAACATTCTACTGTTTTTTCAGTCTGTGGTATTTGAAACTGAAAGTGAACCTTCCAGTCACATTCCTAGCTTCTTGAGGCTCAGGACTGAAAGATAGATAAATTATTTAGTCACGGTTACATTTGCTTTAAAAAATTTTAAGGGGCCTTTAGAAAGAGGGCGGTCCTCAGCCAATACAAACTTTTAGGGGGTTTTCATGTGTAGCTTGGCCTGTCACCTCAAGTCACATTCCGTACCACAGATCGTGGGCTCAAGAGGCGGAAGACAAGGGAGGGTCAGGGGAGCAGGGACTAGTGACTGGGGGAGCCTGGTTCCTGTTTGTTTTAAACCTCAGCACGTAGAACAAAGGTAAAACAGGAGGCCTCTGGGCCGGGTAGAAGTGTTCCATAGATCTCCATCTCCTCACACTTCCGAGGTGATGAGGTCAGGAGCCAGCTGGTGCTCTTTCCCACACAGGGTAGGAAGTCCATTGTGCTCCCAAGAGGCCAGTTCCCAGTCATCTGTCCCCAAGCCCTCAGCTCTCAAGTAGGGAAGAGGCACGAGTGATGTGACACCATTTTTACCCGTGTTGTTCAACCCTGCAGTCCTCCGACTCCAGAAGGTGTGGCTTTCAGGAGCCTCTCAGAGGGTCCCAAGTCCACCCCAGTGTGCACAGCATCTATCTGTGGGCTATTTCAGGAAGGGCGTTCTGCGTAGGGGTCAGCAGGGAATGAAGCTCTGCCTCTTCATTAAGACCTCGGTTTTCTTCTAAGATGATTTTTAAAGAAAATAGCCCGGTGAATTGACATGTTCACCCTAGTGGGAGGCCCTGTTCCTTGTGGGTGTTGGCCTATGCAGCCAGCAGCCCTGCTCACTGTAAGCAAGTGTGTGGGTCCCCCTCAACCAGGTTTAGGGGTGACAGGGCCCCCCTTCCCAGGTGGGTGGGAATGCAGTATGATGGACAGTGCCCTCATCTCCCTTCTGGCACCCCCATCTCCATCCACCCTTCTCCGGCCCTGCAGTGCTGCCAACGTGAAGAAATGGGAGATCGAGCTGCAGACCCTGCGGGAGAGCAATGCGCGGCTGACCACGGCGCTGCAGGAGTCGGCAGCCAGTGTGGAGCAGTGGAAGAAGCAGTTCTTCATCTGCCGGGATGAGAACGACCAGCTCCGCCACAAGGTGGGCCTCCGGGACCCCAGCAGGCCGGAAGGCCGGTGGGCAGTGGCGGAGGTGGGACAGCCAGCTCCTCCTCTCTCCTGCCTCGCCCTCCCTGCCTCTCACGCTGCCTTCCCCCACAGGCAGGAGAAAGACTTGGTGCCTCTTCCCTTGGAACATTCCTCCATCTCCCCGCCTTCCCTAGTAGAAATCTAACCATTTAAACTATTGATTTATTATTTTTATGGAAGCAAGTTTTATAGTTGCTATTGTTAAAGAAGATGAGTGAACTGGGACTGTGACCTTGTCCTGCTCAGAGCTCCTCCGGTGCTCATCACAGCTGACCTTTGATGTGGATGCCCTTCCCTGGCTCTTCTGTGGCACAGTGATGTTCAGTAGAGGAAGGGGATGCAGGGGAGGAGGGAAAAAGTATTCAGGGAATAGTGAGGAGCATTTGCTCAGAAGCTCTGCTTCCATTCAGACCATTATTTTAAAAATGCAAATTTATAAGTGAGAAAAGATTATGCTGCTTATAAAGCACAGGGAGAGTGGGCGCTGACTGCCGTCAGATCCTTCTACTTTCCGACTTTTAAATCCCAGCATTTAGAGTTTTTCAAAATCCACCTGTTGTCTGTAAGAGTCACTGTCTCTCTGTCACTGGGCCCAGTTAATAAGGGAGCGTTGAAGTGGCTGAGACTCCCCTGTTGAGGTCTGCAGTTCCTGTGCTTCTGAGACTGTAGCCACCGCAGCATGGTACACAGGCTTTGGAACCTACTGTGTAAGTGCAGGCCTTTGGAGAAGACCTCATGTTTAAGCTGGTGCTCTCTGTCCCTGAACCCACATGTGTGACCTGCTGTGCCCAACCTGGGCAAGCTCCTGTAGATCAGCTATTGGTGCTGATGCCACATAAAGCTGCCTTGTGTCATTTTCTTATCTCAGCATGGAAAGTGCTGACAGTCAGGGGCAGCAGGCCAGCTGCTGACTCTGCACCTTCCTGACCAAGGCCTGGCAGATCTGCCATTCACAGGGATCAATTGCCCTTTCTTCTTTTCAAGCAAAGAGCAGAGTTTCTCACTCTGGTATGAGTGTGGAAACCATAGGCAGTGGGGAAGGGGTGAGATATGTGCTTCCATGGAGGAGTATGACCCTCCCTGGGGGTACACAGGAGACTGACCTCCAGCATGGAAGTGGCAGCTAGTAGCAGTTGGTACAGACCACCTCTGAGAATTGTCCTGTTTTCAGAGGACACCCATCATGTCAAAGACTGCTGCCGACTTGTAGGGACCCCATCACCACGTTGCTTTCATGTTAGGCATTCCTTCTGCTCCTGCCATTCACTCTGTGTATGCCTTTGGGTCCTCGAGAAATGCTCAGCGTGGGGTGGCAGTGGGGTGGCAGGTGTCTGCACACTCATTCTATACTGTGAGCCCTGTGGAGCAGTCAGACTTGGCAAGGAGGGAAAGATAGAGTCCTGGAATTTGCCTTCAGTCTCTGAGAAGACTGGGCAGGCATCTCTGCATGTGTTGGGGAGAAGGCCACCTTGATGCTCAGGGTTTGAAATATCATTGTTTCTTGTTTGGGAGCCACTGTCCCACAAAGCTCACTACCCTGCTGACCTAAATCCTTAAGATGAAACAGAATAATTTAGAACATGTAAAAATCATTCAAGAGACATCTGGGCTGTGACAGATCTTTAAAGGGAAACCCTCATGTGACCACAAGAGAAAACCAGAAGCCCAGGAGTATCCAAAGCTTGGAGCGTGTTCGTAGCCATAGCAAAAAAATTTGTGAGTGGGTTGGTTTATGGTTTATTTTTAAAGAAAGCATGAAATAACTGTGGGAGTCTCCTGTTTAATGACTAAAGTCAACTAGCATCTCTGCTTTACTGTGTGGTGTCTGTTGAAGATTGACGAACTAGAAGAACAGTGTAATGAGATCAACAGGGAAAAGGAGAAGAATTCGCAGCTGAAGAGAAGAATTGAAGAACTAGAGTCAGAACTCCGAGAGAAGGAGACGGTGAGTAACAGTGCTCGAGCAGAGCCCTTGCATCCTCTAAGCCTCTTGGGTTGACCTCTGATTTCCACCATGGACACAGCAGGTGGCCTGGAGCATGTGACCAACCTGGCAGCTGCCAGGACACCAGGACAGAGCCAGGAGTTACACCAAGCTACAGATTACAGAGCAGAGCAGAGCCGTCACTCTGCAGCCTCGCATTGTTAGGAAACACAGTCACTCAGCTCCAAGACTGAGCTGAACATTTTGCAGAAAACCACAACACTTCCGTGGATCATGTGTCATCACAAATTAATGGAGCTACTGCTGCCGGTCATACAGTGATTTACATTCTGGGAGTCAGGATAGTCAAGTACACGCATGTTAGAGACCGTGAGCAAAGTACCAAGGCTCTTAGATCAGTTTCTCCATCTATAAAACAGAAATCATAAAGATACATAATCATACCTGTGATCAAGTGTGTAACACACGCAGCTCCTGGCATCTACTCATGTTTAAGAGTAGCATCACTGACATTATTATTTTTGCAAACAGGACAGGTTCCACAATCAACATCCATTAGTGTATGCACAAGTTTATGATTTTCAAGAGTACATCTTGCTGAGTGTTTTTTTAACTTTCTGTTTCCTATAGGAGTTGAAAGATCTCCGAAAACAAAGTGAAATCATACCCCAACTCATGTCAGAGTGTGAATATGTCTCTGAGAAGTTAGAGGTAAGAGGGAACACATGGGTGGTGGCCCAGATGAGACGGTTGTGGTCGTGTTAACTGATTTCTTCACTTTATTTCACTTTGACATCCAGGATGGCAAAAAAGAGTAATTTTCTGTTCATAAGAAGTTGGCAGTGATTACTCACCACCCTTATCCCTGGGACAGACTAGGCATGCCTTGGTCTTTTGTTTTTTTGCCCTACACGAGGGTGTACATCACCATCATGCAGGGCACACAGAGACTGAGGAGAGGGCAGCAGGGTGGCCTGAGAGCACAGAATCAGGGCACAAGTCCACAGCAGCCACTGCCAACCCCTGGCCTTTGGTATCACTGTGGGCAGGCCTTCCTCGCCGACCCACAAAATGAGGGTTTAGAGGCAGTCCTTCACCTCCAGGTCTCTACACTTCAGGCCCTGTGACTATGCAGGGACACTTTCTGGAGTTACACAAGCCCAGTTCTGTATGAGTGACTGGCTCCTGGGCACGTGTCCAAGAAAGCCCCCGTCTGTGCCCACATGATAAAGCTCTGTTTTGACATGAAGAGTCAGTGCAAGGCTCAAGTGTCTTTTGAGGACGTGTGCTGTCCAGTCCGATTACCCAGTGGGTGCTCAACTTGCTGGGCCCAGCTGTACCGAAGGCCCTCGTGGTGACAGCATCAGAGGAGCCCAGATGCCTGTTCCTGTGTAGCAGGCAAAGCTCGCCTTCCCTCTCCAGGGCCAGACATTGGCCCAAGGCTGAGGAAGCCTCTTGGAACCACAGGACATTAGCCACTTTTTCTGCTGACCTCTGCTGACCAACCTGGGGCCAACAGTCTCCGAGTTAGGCTTTCAGACCAACTCTGACAGACCCTCTATAAAATCCCTCCGGAAGAACTCTGCATTCTGGGCTAGAACTTGGGTTTCAGATCATGTGTTGGTTTTTTTGGTGCCCCCACCAGAAAACAGGCAGGAAAGGAGCCAACAGGAAAAGGGGAGCCTGCTGCTGACTGTCACAGTCCGGCTTACATGTTGAGGAGCTAAACTTGTCTTTGGGTCTCAGTCCCCAGTCCAGCCTGTGTGTCTGCTGGTGGAGGCCCCGTTCCCTGGGCCAGGCTCTGGGACTGCTGTGTCCTAGACCCTTCTCCCTTTTTGTCTTCTTAGGCAGCAGAGAGAGACAATCAGAACCTGGAAGACAAAGTGCGGTCTCTAAAGACAGACATTGAGGAGAGTAAGTACCGGCAGCGCCACCTGAAGGTGGAGCTGAAGAGCTTCCTGGAGGTGCTGGACGGGAAGATCGATGACCTCCATGACTTCCGCCGAGGCCTCTCCAAGCTGGGCACGGACAACTAGGGTGACAGAGACCAGGCTGCTGTGAGTCCCACGTGTGTGTGAGTCGCAGTAGGGCTAGGACACGCTCCTCTTCGCGTTGCTTCTGTAAATGCTGGCGCAGTGTGTCGTGAGTCCAGACCAGGCGTGCGTCCACTTGCTCCTCTCCAGAATAGAAATCTCCTCTCGCTTCTCTGGCCTTTGAGGTTGTGGACAACTGGAAGATTCTGACTCAGGAACCCAGAACTAGGTCTACCTTAAACGTTTACGCAGTCAGGGCAGGGATGTTTATATCTTTCTTAAGGGCTGTTGCAACCCTATAACTGAAAAACAAGTCTTTTCTAACCCAAATATCAGTATCCTTTATGACAGGCCATCTTGCTCCTTTTACTGAACAGCTCCGAGTATGTGATTGTCCACTAGGTTCCAGTCCATGGGGTGTGGTGGGTGCAACTGCCCTCCCACGCAACACTGAGATGCTTTAAAGCAAGCCTGTAGCGGAGACCTGTGCAGAGAAAGAAAGCACGTTTCTGGCAGGTACACCTTTGGACCGGGGAGATGCTAGCCGCTGCTACACTCCACTCTCCCCTGTTATGTTCGGTTGTGACAGTGCTCTTTTTCTTGGCTTGAATTTCTGAGCAGATGCTCATGCTGTGGGAACAATATGCAGTGAGAGTGCCTAACTCAGTGCCTGGCACAAAGTAGGTGCTCAATAAATACTTGTTCAATTAAACATCTAAACAGAACTACTGTTTTAATCAGACTCCACAGTGGAGTTCAAACCTTGTTGAATGATATGCTCTTTGTTGTACTGGGTAATTATCAGAAAGAAAGGCACCAACCGGCCAAACTGAGGGTTGGCTCACATGTAGCAGACACATTAGAGATTGGTCTGAGGCCCCACAAAAGCCCGGCCATGATACTTCAGCTCTGGGGGTCTCTGTCTGCAGGGGTCTTTGCCCCTGGGACCATTTCTGAACATGGCAGCCTGGAACCTGATGATTCTAGAGCCCTGTGTCTGTGGTACCCAGGACTTGGGAATTGAGTTGTGATCTTGTAAAGGGTTTGGAGAGCTGAAAAAGAAACTGTACTGGCTCATGAGGGTGAGGGAGGAGGTCAACTTATCCTGGGACCTTTGGTCTCAACAGCAGAGGAGCTTGAGCCCAGGTCTGCCTCCGGCCTGTTTTAGGGTGCCTGCTAAGGTACGAGAACCATAAGCCCCCCCTCTCACACAGAGCTGCTTAGGGCCAGTGGGCCTTTGGGTGCCATGGTATCCTTTGCGGAGGCATCACCCGCACTGATAGAGGTTTGAGTCCCTGGCCCGACACATTTCTAAGTGCTTTGAGCATGTGGAGGCTTTGCTGCCCTCTTACCTCTCTGAGAACCACCCAGGAGAGCTTCTCCCTCGAGAAGCAGGGCTGGGCTGGGAAATTCTTCCAGCTGGAACTGGACCCATGAGAAAGCAGCCTGAGGAGAGGAGGGGCCCTGTGGACAAGGTCCAGACCCCAAAGTGGGTTTCTGAGTTCACAGCTGTCCTTCCCCAGCTAAGCTGTCTCTGGCAGGGAAGTCTTGCTTGGTATATATAGTCTTGCTTGGGATAGAAAAGAGAGAAGGCTGGTTATCTGGGGCACCAGGGTACCCTGCAGGCTGTGTGGGGCCATGAGCACCTGGGGCTCTTAGACAGGAAATGGGAAATATGGTCAACCCTGCCCTCTCCCGAGTTCCCGGTGGCTCTCAGGACAGTAGGTTGCAGCTCCCTTAGTGGCTGATCCAGGAGACCTGAGAGCTAGACTGGCCACAGATTGGTCCCATGGCCCAGCAGCAGAGCTGGCAGCCTGAGCCTGTCGCTGCCCTGGAGCAGTGGACTCTGAGATCCAAACACTCTTAATTCAGGCCTTCAGGTGACCCCATCTGTATGTACTGTGGACTTGATAATCTAGAAGAAACCCTCTTGGCTAACCAGAGTATACTGAAGTGACATAGTCACAGGTGGATAGTTGCTAAAGCATTTGTCCATTCTCATAGCAGTGATTCTAGAAAACATCGACACGGAAGTGTAATGTGTGCTATTACTACTGTGTACTGCTAGAGGCCCAAGACCCGCAGTCCTGCTCACCAACTGAAGAGTGTGATGAGCAGCTGTGGCCAGTGGTGAGGTGCTTAGATCCGTCATATGGCTGGGGCTGTCCAGTCTCGGACTCTTGCAACCCAGGAGCTGAGGTGAGGGGCCCTTTACAGAGAGAAATGGATTCCTATGACACCATGCAGAGGGGACTTAGTATAGCAGTGACAGTGCCCCACTGCATTTGTCCAGGGTTTCCTGTAGCACAGCATCATGGGTCCTTAGGGCCAGGGCACTTTCGGAACTACCGTGTGGCCTCATGCCACATGCAGGCCAGATATCACCGTTTCCCTCATGGTTGTTGTAGCCACGTTGGGCTGCTTGGAAGATGTTGGGCTGGGAGCACATGATCAGTTTACAGATGAGATCTCCTTGGTTTTGTCATCTCCGAGACTGGCTGTGAGCCCCGGATTAGCTTTTGTTCTCTATCTATGAAACCTGGGCCTAAATGAGGCTAAGTAAAACTCAGAACCCTTTACCGTGATGCTCTTTAAAGATAACTTCATGCCAAGAAGAGACCCAGATGGATGAACTTCTCATTCTGGGATGGGAAGGAGCCAGGATGTCTTCCAGTGCTCTGGAGGTGTAAAGTCACTAGGGTGACAGGTTGGGAGGAGTGTCGTCAAGCCTTGGATGACGGGAGTGCTCCATCAGCCCTGCATGCTGTCCCTTTAGACCTTCGCTGGGGGAGAGGACTTGACAGATCAGATAGGAAGCAGAGACCGAGAAAGTGACATACCCAAAGTCCTGCCAGTGACCGGCAGCGTGGGCTCTGCACCCAGTCTCCTGGACCATATCCCCTATCAGCTATATCCCCATTCTCTCTGACAATCCCTGGCTGCCAGGAAAATAATTTTCTCTTGAGTCCCAATAAGGAATATTGCAATTATATTATTTTAGTATGTATCCACAGTAAAGGACGACCTACAAAGGAGCACATCAGAATTTTATGTTCTTTACAAATAGTTCCATTTGGAATGATTCTTGTTTTTTAAGGCTCTTTCTAAGAAGTGTTGATTGTCCAGGCTTAGAGGCCAGTTCAGTGGCACATGATCTCACTGAGTTCTTTGTCGATAGCTGAAATGGAGGCAGAGTAATCAGATTAGAACCGGTGAGTAGCCCTGAGACAGAAGCAGCCCCTGGTGGGGGAGGAGGCTTGCCAGGGAGGGAGCAGACTGCAGATCCCGAGCAGGTCTTGCAGGCCCAGAAAGACTGTCCACAGGGCAGCTGATCTCTAGCCCACAGGCTCCTTAAGCGCAGCATCACAAAGGGAGTTGAGGGGTGCCTGGCTCTTGGTCTGCATTTGTCACGATCCATCAACTAAAGGCTGTTGGGTAAAACAGTATTCTGCCCCGAAGCATCTCTATCTGCCCATTTTAAAGGGGTTCATCTACAGACAAGTCCCCCTTTCTGTAGAAACCAGGACTGGATGAGAGCCAACCACAGGACCACCCCATGTTTGGAAATAGGGTACCTATGGTGTGGCTTAGTGTTAGTGTAAACACTCAAAAGAGACTGCCCTTTGCTAACACTGCATGTGGGTTGGCGTCTAAAAGTTACACTTCATTCACTCACCTGAAACATCACTGCATTTGGAAAAAGCACTTGGGATATAGACTAAAATCTTGAAAATGAATGTCTATGTATAGCGTTTAATGACATGTGTAGTTTAAGTGGACCCTAATTTCTGAGTACATGGCTTCCCCAAAGAAATAATAGATAGTGTAAGGATGGTGGGGGAGAGCATGAAGAGGGACTCTTGTGTGGAAATTTATGTTTTTTGCGTGTATTTTCCATGCACCTATTTGAAGAATAGAGTTCTTTAAACATAGCCTGGCAAAGTGACTGCTACAGATTCTCAGCTGGGTGAACTGTTCTGGTGAACCTAGGACTCTGTGTGTGTATGTGCACCTGTGCGTGTATTGGAGGAAGAAGGAATCACGGGCAGCAGAGAAGCAATAAGGAAGAGTTTTCATAAAAATACACACCTGAGAGGAGTCTTTATTTGAATATTTTGAGGTTGATGTTCTATGTTCTGGAATCCATGAATGAGAGAGTGTGTGAGCTTTGTTATGAGCGGCACTGCCCAGTGCCCTGCTGTCCTTGGCAGTGCAGAGCTGGCTGTAGGGTGAGCTGGCACACCCGGCGAGTGGATGCCAGACTCTTTCCATGTTGGCAAGTGACCGGCAGGACGGACACTATGCAGCCGCGGAGAATGTATTATATTCCTGTTTTTACCCTCTTGTACTTACTACTTTGAAAAGAAAGTCCTGACTTTCGATTATTATAGCGGTGTCTTATTAGATATGGCAAACAAGAAGATGTTTCTTATGTCAAATATAAGAGTTTAATGAATACAGGGTGGATAAGTGGACTCTCCCAAGAATTTTTCCCTTTAAATACTTTTTTTTTGGATATATGAATAGCATATACATTTTTAAAGAAACTAATAAGTGAAAAAAAAACACCTATTATTATTCCATCTGATTATAACCACTGTTAACATTTCAGTGTTATGTTCAGTATATGTCCAAACTTTTTCCTATGCATCTATATGTGCTTTTTTTACTTTTCCATAAAATATCACATTATGCATACTGTTCTATAACTTGCTTTTTCCCCTTTTAACATAATATTGTGGGTATATTTCTACATCGATATGTAATTATAACCTTTTAAATACCTGTGTAGGTCATATCTTGGATACTTAGGCTGTTTTCAATTTTTTACTGTTGTAATCAAAGACAGAATGAAACCCTGCTGGCATCTTTGTAAACTTTTCAGAATACTTAGGACAATTTTTCAAGAGGGAACTTGCTGGCTCAAACATACGTCTCTCTATTTGTGGCCCCATTCCACCTGGGCACATAGGGCACTCCACTGTCTGATGTCCCTGTAGTCATTCAGGATCTCATGACTAACTCCAGCCAATCAAATGTGAGCAGAGACTGAACTGAGGGAGCACAGAGCCCCAGTGTCTGTCTCCTGCCTCAGCAATGTGACATGCTGGGTGGAGCCTCCAGCAGCCTAGGTCCCCGAGTGAGGGACTCTGTGGAGCAGATCGTCCCTTCGCTTCTCCCCCACCAACAACTTGCATGGGCCTGTAGTGGGAACAGGAAATATAAACCTTAATGTTACACCACTGGGACTTCAGGGTTAATTTGTTACTGCAGCATAACAGCCTTTTTTGACTAGTGAGAAAGATAGGCACATTTTTAGGAGCTTTTCTTATACAAGATATATTTTAAAAATACCATAAAAGACACATTACCATTAATCCCCTTCAGCGTACTCCCCTTCACTTTACACACACTCATCTGACCCTTCTTGCTGCGTTCTGAAACAGTTCTGACATCCTCTTTCCTCACTGCTTTAATCACATTGCCATGACTGCCTCAATGTCCTGAACTGATTCAAAATGTTTACCTTTCATGCTCATTTTGACTTTGGGGAAGAGCCAGAGTCCTAAAGTGCCAGCTCCAGTGAATGAGGAGGATGAAGATGCACCATGATGCTTTTCACGAGCCTAACATTCCGTTGGATGGCACACAGTAGACGCATTCACCGTATGTTTTGTCACACCTAGTGAAGACACTCATGAAAGAGGGGTCCAGAACTGCTTCAGAAAGGGGCAAGAACAGTGGGATAAGTGTGTCTCAAATATGAGGTGGGGTGTTTTGAGGAGGCTTTTAAATTTTAAAAAATTCTCTTAGTACATGTTTGCAGTTCATGCAGTTTAAGGAGGCTTAGTGGCAATGTGCCTTTTACTGTAATAATGTTTTACTTGAACGTTTACTGTGTATTGTGATCACCCGTCATGTGTTACCTCAAGTTGCCTTTCAGAAAGATTACTCCCAAATACATTTCCACCTCTAGCAGTGTGTGAGAATGTCCAACGCCTTCTTTAACACTGTTACTAGCATGGGGTCTGGAGGTATAAAAAAACATTAAATTTTTGATGAAAATGATGACCATCATTAGAAATATGTTTTTATTGAATTTTATGTTTCTGTAGTTTATCCAGTCTGGCCAGTTTTCTCAGAAGGAAGCTAATGTCTTCATTGATTTCTAAGAGGTTTCTAAAAATAAATATTGTAGAAAATTTTAAGTTATATTACAGTTTTTAAAAATTGATTACTCAAATATTAATCGAATCTGTCTTGTCTTTCAGTTATTACCTTTGGTGTCATTCTTACATTCTTTTTGTTTCTAATTCCAAGATTGTGTAAATATTCATCAATTATTTTATTCTTGTCTATTTAGTTTTCTTTTTAAACAGTTAAATTGGATTGGAATTTATTTTCTAAATTGCCCCAACAGTCTTGCTCGGGATATTTACTTTCCCTACTAATGTGAATCCCATTTTTACTGTACGCCCTCGAATACGTGTGTTTTCCTCAGCGTCTCTGAGCTTTGCGCCGGGTGCCACCCACCGGTACAGTCTGGCACTGGGACCACCCTGTTGGATCATCGTAAGGCTAGCCCGAGTGTCCCATTAGACCTTTCCAGAAATTTCCAAGTACATTTGCATATTAATATATCAGAAAACCTTTGGGGATCATTTTGTAATGTTTGGAAGAATTGGAAATTAGATTATGTAAAATGTATATATTACTATAGAATTAATAACCTTATACATTCTCTTTCAGTTCAGTGAATTTATAATGCTTAGTTTTATGTCCTTTGGTCTATTTTTTCTAATAAAAGTAATTTTTGTAGTTGTGGTTACTACTGTAAATGAGCTCTTATGTCTATTATTATTATTATTATTATTATTATTATTATATTATTTTAGTACCAGGAATTGAACTCAGGGCCTCACTCTTGTCAGGCAGGCGCTGTGCCACTAAGCGATATCCGACACTCTCCAATTGTATTTCTCATCAGCTTATTGTTACTATGTATCCCACTGTTCTTTTTAATATTGATAGTTTTTTTACCTGGACATTAAAGTTATGTAAATTTAAACATGAGAATACATACTGTAGCAAATCAAAATCCTGTAGAATTAAAAATCCCTCTACCGTAAGAATCAATAATTATGAGTAGTTCTGTTTTCCCTTGGCAGTAGGAAGAGGCCTGTGTCAGTAAGCATCAGTCTACCTCATCCTTACGTCTGCGTTAAGATGGTGTGTTGTTTATTTAGCTTGGCAATTGGTTATTTTGACACCACTTAATTCCTTTGGCCTTTTTCAAATAGGTTACAATTCTGAGTTAGGTGTGATCATTTTATCTTCATATTTTTAATCTTATTTTACTATCTTGTAAAGTCCTATATGATGCATATATAATTGTGCAGGTATTATGTATTTTTCTTTATATATGTATTTTTCCTTTAGCAAGAATACCTCTAGTGATTTCCCAAAGTATAAATTTGGCTTTAAATGTATGATATTCTTGATTTTTGAACTTATATATTAAATTATGGACATTTATTTCTAATCTGCTAAAAATTTTATCAGTAATAAATGTTGGGATTTTAGTAAATGACCATTTTCTGATCTGTCAGATGATTAAATAATTCTTCTCTATTGTGACTTGAGATGAATCATTTTAATAGATTTGCTAATGTTAAGCCCACTCTACACTTCCATAAAAATCTGATACCATCGAACTATGTTGTTCTTTTAATATTCACCTCCTTTTAATGTTAACAGTGGTTATTTGTGATTGGTTGGTCTTTGATAGATTTTTATTTTGTGTTTCTTATCTGTTTTCTAATTTTTTCTACAAAGATTAGGTATTGCTTTATATAATAAAAATAAGAGCTTTATAATGAAAAACTACTGTCAATTTGGTTTGCTCATTTTATTTTGGAAATTTCATATCTTAAAAAAGTGAATAGCTGCTATTTTTTTCTTTGTCAAATATTTTTGTTAACTTATTTTAAAAAAATAAAGGGACTTGGGAAGGTCTCTTTTTCTATGTCCTGAAATAGTTTAAATATTAAAAGTTTTTGCTCTTCAAAATTTTTATAACATGCATAAAACTGTCTTAAGTGTAGTGCCTTGTTAGAAAATAATCCCTTGATAATTTTTCCAGTTTTCTCTGTGCTTGTTGGTCTTTTTCTCTCATTGGTCATACTTTCTTCCTGGTCTGTAAGTTTTTTGGCAGTTCAATTTTCCTAAATAATTCTAGTAACATTTTCAAATGTGTTGGCATTAAATTGTGTTGGTTTTTCTTACTGATAATGTTGAATGTCTGTGCTTTCTCTTTTTGTTCTATTTAGTTTTTCAGAACGTTTGTTAGTTTCTGTAGAGAACCAACTCTGGGACTTATACCCTAACACTGTTTCACGATTTTATGATTTTTTAAAGTTTAATTTTATTCTTGTCAGTTCTTTCCTTTATTTTCACCTTCTCAAGTTGAATGCGATTTTAACTTTTTCTTGCTTAATAAAACAATTACTAGCATTATAAGGCTGAATATTCCTTAAATTTTTGTGCATGATGTTGTTATAAATAATCTATAATTTCAGATTTGACTTTTTATAAAGTTATTTGAAATTATACTTTAAGATTTCAAAATAGCTTGATATTTGTTGTTTTTAACATCTATTATAAACTGCTAGCTTTACTGCCCTGTCAAAGAGGATAGGGATGGTACAGTTTGTACCCTTTGGACTTTATTGATATTTTTTGGACCTAATAAATTCGAAGTTTTAATAAATATCCCCAGTAAAATGGAGAACGTATAAGAGAACAAAATTCAATCAATATGCATTGCTTTGACCTCATTAAGTATAATAGTATCAACCTTTAATTTTTGCTTACTTGATTTATTGGAGACTAAGAAAGGTATGTTGGTTTCCACTACAGTTGTATTTCTGTCTTGTGCATCTGAAGTTTTTCTTTATGTGTTTGTTTGATGTTACTCGGTAAATGATCTTTTTATACTTAAGGGAAAATTTATTTTCCTTTAAAGATTTATATACTCTTTATTTGATTTCATTGTAATAGAGTTGTTTATGTAGAAATACATAGTTCAGTAAAATGTTTCTGTGTATTTTTAAGCTGAGAAAAATCTTTCAGAAATTCATAGTGCTTTCGGAAGGTATTTTAGAAGTTCTTGATCTCTCCAGTTAAGCTGACATCCTCTGTGGCCAGTTCCTGAGCCAAAGCAAGGAGCGTTCGGATTGAGGTACAGTAACTTTTGGGACAAAAAAGATGTTGAAGGATGCTTGCCCTTCAGCTGGTCACATTCTGGGGCCACACTGCAGCTTTTCTCGGTCTGACAGCCACTTCTTCCTCTGCAGAGGATCAGCTCTGGAGTAAAAGGCAGTGAGAAAATGTGTCCAGCGCCTAGCTGCTGGAGAAAAAGCTAATCTCAGCGTTTCTTCTAATTAAAAGGTTTTTTCCAGAGCTGTTTCCACAGGCTGGCCACATGGCAAAGTCTGTGCAGGTACAAAACCACTTTTTCCCAAACACGTACGCGGTGTGGACCCCAGCCCTCAGCTCAGGAATGGGACATGGCCTTCTGTATTCTTCCTTCATTTAAGTTAATTTCTGTCCTGAGCCCCTGTCCCACCAAGCTCTCGTGATTTGATCTCAGTTCTGGGATCCGTTTTTCTCCAGAGGCGATCCTCTGAAGATCTGGGGCTTCCGTGTCCCCACAGTGTTGGGGGAGGGACCATGTCTCCTGTTCCCACCATTCCCTGTGTGCCTCCTCACCACTTCTGCACCACGCACTCCTGCTGGGAACATGGGGAGGACCCGCATGTTCCTGTGCTGCAGAAATCTCCCCGAAGCTGTCCCTGTCCTGCCCACCTAGACCCTCTCTGTAGCCATCCACTAGCAGATAAGCCAGACGCGTGTGCACAGGACCCCAGAGCACCGAGTGGAAATGATTCTGCCATCACCACCGCGGCTGGCTGGCCTTGCTGAGGCTCACTTCAGGCTCTGGTTTTCCTCCCCTTCTACCTTACTTCTTGGGATGATTCCTTTTCCATGGCCCCTTCCTCCTGCTCTGCTCACAGTGGGGTCTCCAAGGCTCTGGCCTGCACCATCTTCCTTTGATCTTCACTCCGCAGGAATCTTCAAGGCAATCTCAGTCCATCGCTAGAAGCTGCTTGTGGCCAAAATATCCCCCTTTCTTCCTTTCCGCTGCCCCGTCTCCACCCCTCACTGACAGTGCCACCCTCCCAAGTGCTGGCCCCTTGCTTCCTGCAGGCATGTTTTGTGTTTCTGTCTCCCATCTCTTTACCACTGCTGCTGTCACTGCCCCATCCCTGCCTTCTTCTGTCCCCTCCCTTTGCTGGTTGCTCTTCCTGATCCCTGGGGAAGTTGGCTTCTAGCCTAAGCTTAGTCACCCCAGATCCTTCCCCTGTTCTGCCAGAGCCTGGGTTGGCATTTTCTCTCTGTTCTTGCTCTTGTTCCCAGTGTGTGGAGTCTTCTCTGCTACCCCCATCCCCACCACCTCAGGCCTAGGCCAAAAGTACTCTCCATGCAGCTCAGCCACTCAAGACTCTTCATGTTTAACAGTTTTTAAATCATTAGCTTCACACTGTTTATGGAGCACCTTATGCCCCAGGACCCCTTCCTGAGAACACAAGTGAAAAAGACTTCCCCAGACCTACTGTAGCCCCAGCAGGTGTTAATGGACCCACTGGTGGGAAGCTTGACGGGGTGGCTACCTCTAACCAGTGGCTAAGAACCATACCTGGCTTTTCCAAAGCTGGAGGGACTTCAGCTTCCTTCTCACCAGCTCTAGTTCCTCTGACTTGGGGACAGTCCTCATGTGTTTCTAGGATGCACTGCAGACCTGCTGCTGTTAGGGTGCCAGCCTATCTCAGGAAAACCTAGACTGGGGTCTTTGCCACCTGGCAATCTGCCTGCTAACAAGTGCCTTCTACTAGACAGAAAGTGGCCCCCAAAGCAGCCCACGTGCTCATCCCTGGAGCCTTGGGATGTGTCAGCAGCAAGGGCCAAAGGGACATCATGTGGGAGACTGTCCTGGGCTGTCTGGGCACGCTCCAGCTAATCACAGGCGGCGATCTCAGCAGCAGAGAACCGCCCAGCACGGCAGAAAGAGATGTGGGGCGAAGGGAGTCAGGGAACCATGACACTGCTGCTCTGCAGACTGAACACGGAGGGAGGGCCACAAGCCCCGCAACATGGGCAACTGCCAGGAGCCACAGGGGAAGGGGAGAGCTTCTGCCGGAGCCTTCAGAAAACAGCACGGCCCTGCTGGTCCCTCGATTCTAGCCCAGGAGAACCAGGTTGAACTTGTGCAGAACTCTAAGAATAAATTTGTAATTTTTAAGCCACTACAACTTGCAGTAATTTATTATGCCACTGGAAAACTAAGGCATTAGAACCTGAGATTTAAGAACCTCTGCCATGTAGGTCCTCTCCTATGGGCCCTTCTCAAGGTGTGAATCTGCCACAGCTGCCAGATTCCCAGGTCAGGTCCTGGAGAAGGAAGGAATGAAGAAATGAACTGACAGGCCTGACTGGCACAGCTCATTGTTTTTCTCCCCAGGACATTCACAGGTGGCTTGCTGCCAGTAATGGATTGGCTCTGAGGACCCCATGCCAGCCCCAGATCAGTCAGCCCGAGGTGACACCCATCCCACTGGATGTCCTTGCGGGAGAGCTGCAGGGGAGCGGGGAGCATGCTGGTGTCCAGGACAAGGTGCCATGGCCATGTGGGACAGGAGCAGGGAAGACCTCGGAGAGGACACTGTAGGGCTGAGACTGAGGGATGGGCACTCCCAGGCACTTAGGCTTCAGAGAGCGAGGCTGCATGGGTAGGCAGCAAGCAGCTTGGTGGAGCAGGAGAGGGGCTGCCAGGGGCAGCAGCCAGGCCTCTGGGGGACTGAGGTGCCACACTCAGGGCTGTCCATAGCTCTGCATCGGAAAGTCAGGGAGCAGTTCAACTGGTGGCACTTTGGAGGGCGGGTTGGAGAGGCTGAAGCTACACAGCAGGAGGCATACTGTTCCCTTCGAGGGCTCTGATTTCCCTGAAGCCAGAGCTTGGATTTATTTCAGAGCTTGGCTGGAAGATGGAAGGAAAGCAAGAAATGAGGGAGAGACTGTTCCAGAGGAGAAGTTCTGAGGCACTGAAGACACAGCTGGGCTCGGGACTTTGAGAGAACTCTGGCAGAGGATCCTTTTTTGGAGGCCTCTCATCTTTGGCAGCCCCTCCAAGGCAAAGTCTGAGAATTAGCCCAAACTGATTATGCTCCTTTGTATTTCCTGATGCTGAAAGCACAAAAACAATACAAAACCTCAAAATAAGTGTAAGAAAGTCTCCCAAAGTTCTAAGTGTGCCTTTTAAAAAATGCCCTATCCCTGGACTTCCCTGTCCAAGGTGGGGAAGGGGGCCTGGTCAGAGCCACCTGACCTCCCCACATCCCTGGAGAGAGTTGTGCTCTGTGTCAGGGCTCCTCCGGAATGAGGATGGGATTATTCTGCTGTGTGGAAACCAGACTGCTGGCACAGGAGGGAGTCACGAGGCCAGCTGGGACGCAGGCAGTTTGAAAAGTGGGTAGACTGTTCTGTGCTGGTCCCTCCCTTCCCTAACTAATGCCAAAAGAACAGAAAGATCCCTTGTGGGAATGGCGATGTTTCCCCCACCCAGTATTTGCCTAAATACCTGTTCAGCTGAAATCGCACTGAACATTTAAACCTACCAGGCAGGGAAGTCTCTTCTCAGACAGTGGTTAAGGTACTGTGTTTTCGTTTCCTCACGCATGATAGAAAATAGTTCTTTATTATGAATTTACATAGTGCTTGATACATAAAATAAGTTTCATTTAAATATTTAAAATAATTCCTGAATATAAGCAGTTTGTTCTGATTGTTGCTGAAATAAAAATTCACATTCAGACCCTTAAATCTGAGGAACTCTGTGGCATGCGCACAGGAGAGCACAGTCAGTCTAACAGTGCTGTCCACAGGGGCCATGTAAACCCTGCATCCGAGGGTGATCCTGTAACCTAGGTGAGACGTGAGCACTGTTGCCGTGGCCGGCGACACTCACTGGATTTCATCCGCACCAGGCTGGGTGTGAGACAGTCACCACAGCTCTGCTTCCTGAGAGCCATGACATCATATCAAAGCTGCAATGCTTACCCAAAGCCTGGCTGATCTTTTGGGGCAATGTGTGACCTGTCTACCTTGGTCTCACATGGAGAAGACTCTAATGGTTCCACTGGTCATGGTTCTGCTCATCACTGTCCTCCTCCGAGTCGGCAGACACTTGCTTAATTCTCTGCAGAGCTGCCTTGATGCTTCTCTCCAAGTCACTGGCTGGTCGGGTGCTGGGACCCGAGCCCGGGTTCTGGGGCACTTTCTTCAGCTTGACTCCTTGCCTGATGGCCATCAGAATGTCCTCATTGACTGACGCACGGGAAGGGGACAGAGCACTTCTGTTTTCTGTTTTCTGGAGACGAGTTCTGTCATGTCTTAACGAGGCTAGCACTTCATCCATGGATCCTGGAATTGTGTGAACAGATCAAGTACCATCATGCACCAGGATGCCAGAACATTATTAAAGCCAGGATTTTAAAAATTATCATCCTGGGGCTGGGGATTTAGCTCAGCGGCATAAGCACCTGCCTTGCAAGCAGGCAGTCGTGAGTTCAATCCCCGGAACCCATAAGAAAAAGACCAAAAAAAAAAGAAAAAAGTTATCATCCCATCCAATAGATGCTTTGATAACCTGCTAGACAGAACAGGGAGAAGAGCTCCCTGTTTGGTCCGGGACAGTTCCACAGTGCATACGTTATCTTAACTACTTTCAACCAACTTCTTCAAATCTCTAGCACCTTATTGGCAAAGTCATGCACAACTTATTTTGAAATGATGGTTTTTCAAGATGTCCTAAAGAGAGTTATCAATGCCTGGGGTAGAAATAATCTAACCACTGGGTGTGATTGAGATCCCTCTAAAATTGTATTTTCTCCATTCCCTTCCCATTTAAAAATATCTTTAAAAATTCTTTTTAATCCTGTTGCGTTTCTCAAGGTATCAGACAGCGATGATTCATTCTGTGACAACGAATCAAGTAAGTTTCCAACACAAAAAGGCTTAAGTAAAACTCTAATCGGCAGCTTAGTGAATGGGTGGAGGTGGCTTTGGCACATTTTTCTGTACACAGTATGTTTAATTCCACCTACATTGCCCTGAGGTAGTTACACACTCTGTTTCTGAGGTTGTGAAATGCTGTCAAGTCACAAATTAGCTTAGAGTTCAGGGCATGGAGGAGAAGAACCTTGAGACCCTGAGAGGGGAGATCTGTCACCTGCAGTTAGGCAGGAAGCGTGATTGTGACCACTGGGTTAGATGTCTTCCAGGTAAGCCTATGGGATTTCCCAATGGGGATTAAAAGGCCATGTGACAGCTAACAAAGGGTACTTTGGGCTTAAAATCATTCTGGGAGTAATAAGGTAAGTTTTGCAGTCAGTGTTATGTTCTGATACTAATTTGCATTTTTCTCACGCATGTTTTCAGTGTGAGAGAGCCATGTGAGTTCAATGGAGCTCCTCAGAACTGCACAAAACGCAAGCTGGGAACAGATACCCCAAAATGATCTGTCCATGTACAGCTTGGGCACAAGCACATGGCTCCCCCTTTCCACTCACGCAGTGCTGGTACAAACCTCATAGGAACAGGCCATTTGCCGTTTCTGCGGTGTCTGGTCCTGGACATAGTGACACTCTGAACTCAGAATCTCCAGAATGTTCAATGACCAGAAACCGAGTGTGGACCTATTATATGAAAATCATTTGTGTCACCTGTCCCCATCACTCTACATAGTCCAGGTGACCCACATCTCAGGAAACAAGTGTACACAGAATTTTCTAGGATTTTGTTAAAACGCCCCAAAACAGGAAGTTCCAAGCCTGGGCAAGTTTAAGGCAGCCTTTTCAACAATCAATATAAAGCCATAATCAAAATTATGCCTGAAAACTATATCTCTTATTAAATAAATATTCAGATGTTTCAAGGCACTATATTTGCCATACCAAAGAGCCCTTTTTTCCTATTCATCAGTCTGCAAGAATGGCCTTTTACATGGGGGCTGATACTCTTCCACAATAATTTCCAAGCAGTATTCTCCTTAAAATGTAACAATTTAATTCTGTAAACGACTTGAGAGAGAAAACAGCAAACTCGAAAGCTGTATGGAAAATACTCCAATGGCATAATCAGACTAAAATCTTAAGAAAACTGAAATATATTGATCCTTTAACAGCCTCAGAAAATCCCAAGCCGTAATATTAAGTGAAATAAACCAGATACACAAGCTTAAATAGCACATGGTTTCTCTTATGAGAAACTCAAAGTATAAAAAACAGATAATAGGAAATACGGCAATATATCTTTTGCAAAAGGGGAAAGGGACCAGAAGATGGAAAAGTGAAGAGAAGAAAAAAGAAAGTAAAATTAAGATGTGTGATGTACACATATCAACTCCCGATGAAAAATGTAATCATTATATACTGCAAACATGGACCAATAAAAGTAAAGTATTAACTAGAAAAAAGAAGAAATTCCAAGTCATATGATCAGCAAATGCAGGCTGTCTTTTGAGGCTGAATTTGCCATTTATCAAACTAGGTTTGGGCTGTACTATGTAAAAAAAAAAAGTGCTATTCAAGACAACAAATAGTGGAATATTTTTAAAATGACCAGAGAATTCTGACAGACTGCCAGTGGGTTACCTGGGCTTGGAACAGTTTCCAGGAAGCCATGCAGACCTTCAGGAGGTGATACACACATCAGAGAACGTGGCTGGTCATCGTCCACTGAGGCCCTGGGGCCTGGGTTCCGATGAGTGTCAGTTTGGGATCTGGGGGACAGAGCAGGAAGAGGTGGCGGCGGTGGAGGTGGTGGTGGCGGAGGCAGTGGCTGTGGTGGTGGCGACAGCTCCTCACTGGATCTGAAGTGTGACTGGTGACCAGCTGGGAGAGCGGTGTTTCCGGGGGGCCAGTTTTGATACTCGGGGGTTTTCATATCACTCACTTCACCCAAGGGAGGGGCGCGTCTGGTTTTCCAGGAGCGCGGACGAGCTGCTGTGCCTGGCTGAGCAGTGGGCGAGGGCAGCTGCGGGGCAAGGTCACCTGGCAGGCCTGGGGCCGTGGGCTCCGAGGGAGACGTTGGTACTACAGATGGAGCTGGACACTTCTGAAAAATGGAAAACGGCTGTGGGAAATCTGCCACACGTGCTGACCATCAAAATGTTGACAGGGGCGTAATCATAGAGCATTGTAATTCACACAGTGCGACCATCTTGGATGTGTTAAACAACAAGTATGTGTTACAAAACCCAGCACTTACATCCTTCTCTGTAATAAAATGGAGATGTGAAATGATACACAGACATGAAAATACTCACTATAAAATTCTTAGCATGAAGAATAACCAGCTCCAAATGCCAACAGACGTTAATTTAAAAATTATGACATAAAATATTAAGCAACCATGATAGATCATAAAAGTGCAAAGTAGATAAAACATCTAAAAACATCAACTGACAGTGTTAAGTGAAAACAGTACGGTACAGCTGGATACCGAGACACTGGCCTGAAATCCCTACACTCAGGAGGCTGAGACAGGAGGATGGAGTGTTTGAGGTCAGCTTGGCCTACATAGCAATACCATCTCCCAAAAAAAGATAAAACATAATAGGTATTATGACTAAAAACATGTAAAAGAGATTAAAAACACCAGTGGAGTGGATATCAAAGGTACTATATTTTCTCTAGGTTTTAAGCTTAGAGTAAATTTAATAATTTCGAAATTTAGAAAGTTCTGGTCTCAGATATTAGTTTGATAAAGAAAAATCTATTCCTATAAGGAGATCCTTGAGAGAGGAGGGGGCCCAGACTAGCCAATAATATACAAAATGTAACATCAGGAGCCATTAAAGTGAACTAAAGATACACACATTAACACAGATGCGTCTCAAAAACAACCCGAATTAGAGAACCCAGGAATGTACACACAGTGCGACACTAATGTAAACTTCAGACATAGACATCATGCAATTCATGGTACACTCAGGATATCTATCCTACCTAGAATTCTTTTTCAGGACAAATGAAAAAAAGAGACAATCCCCAAATCCCAGGGGCTGTCACCACCCAGGGCACGCATAGTAACCTGCACTCCTTAACCCAGATTCTTGTCCCTGAATTTAAACCAGGCAGACCCCTTCCCACACCACTGTGCACAACTATACCTCGCCATCCGGGCTTCTCTCAAGCAAGAACACAGCAGTTTACCCCAATGTTAAGGCAACTTGTTTACTTTTAGCAGTGCACTTTCTCTGCCCGTAAAGCACAATACTTGCTTGACGTTTTATAAAAATCTTGCAAATGAAAAAAGCCAACTGAAGTCAGGGCAGTTAAACAACTTTCAATTCTCACTGCTGGTCTAAACCCCAGAGGTCACAGTAAGCACCCCCCACACCCCATGAAAAGAGGGACCCCGAGAGGTGGGCAGGGACCCCGGCAGAGCGTGACATCCAAAACAGAAGTGTTTTGTTGCATGCCTTTTGAACATTGATGCTGGGATGCCATGTGCTTCACTGCTGTTCCACAAATAGAATTTTGAAACATTTCATAATGCAGTTAACTGTTCATAATGTTCCACATGATCCGTGATCCTCATTTTCACACAGAAAGAAGTTGAGGTGATTATTTGTAGAACTTACCTCCTTATAGGCTCTTAATCGCCGGAGGGTTTTCTGGCGTTCCTGGTTTACCCATTCTTTTTTCTTCTGTTCCTCTTCTTTTATTTTGTCTCGCTTCTATATTTAAACAAGCAGATACTGTAAAGTGCTCAGAATTCCAATCATATATATCTTGACATAAAATATGACTTGACAAAGAAAGTGGCTGTACCCGTATGTCCTGCCAGAATGTCACATGATACGAAGGTGTAACATTTCCCCCCAGCTACTCACCATCTGAATGCTGTGGTGCTCGTGCAAATGTCGGACACTTTTTTCAGCCTGTTGCAATCGGAGGTGATGATTTGCTTTGCATTGATCCTAGTGGAATAACATAAATCACCTTCATGGTTTTTAATATTACCATGGGCTGTAGTAGAAAAAGTTCACAGAAAAAAAGCTTTATATTGGTGCCTTCATTAACCTCGGTTTCTGCTGTGACTTTCTGGTGCTGACCCCTCTGCAGTCATATGAAACGTCACTAGCTGCTCACAGGAGGTGCTTTGGGGGATGCAAAAGTGACTCTCTGGCCATCAGAGGACAGAAAGGCAGCACCCAGTCCTCAATGGGCCATATCCCAGCAATCTGTTGTAATGCAGGACTTTTTAACATATTCCCTATAATGTCATAAACCTTAATTATATTTCTAAAGATAACTACAAAAGTACAACTGACCTACAAGCATCTGAAAAATTACATGAAAAGCCATGTCTCATCTGTGCTTACCACTCACCATAACCTCCGGGTGTGTGGGAAATAACAGAGCAAAAATACTGACATTCACTCCATTTGTTTAGGTCCCGGCCTCAATGCCACACACTTCTCATGTCTTGGGCTATTTTAGTTTCATCTTGAACATGAGATTGTTATTACTACAATGATTATCGATGAGAAAACTGAGCTTAAAAGAGATTTAAGTAACATGCCTAAAGTCACATAGCTGCCAAGAGGCCGCACTGTGACTTCTGCAGAGCCAGGGTGGACTCCAGGACCTGACCTCAGCTCCCAGGCTGCTCAGCCTTCCTAGAACCCAGTGGCAAGAGAGCTTCCTGAAAGGTTAGTGTTTCATGTCTGGCTAAGAGAAGGTGCGGCCCTGCTGCCAAGGGCTTTGGGAGGATCATCCCACAGCTGCACAGTTGCCATGGAGACAGCCACAGCCCCACAGAGTGGCTGAAACTCAGAAAAGGGCACACATCATAGAACTCAACTTCAACTTCGACATCGAAAAGCTACCAGTCCCAAGAAAAGAACTTCAACAGACATATTCTGGCAAAGTTTTTTTTTTTTTTTAAGGTATCATTGCATGGAAACAAGTATTTTCGAAAGCTAGAAAACACACCACAATTTTATGATTTCTAAATTCTAGTAGCAAAAGACAAATATGATTAACCATATAAAATGCAGCTTTTTTCCATTTGAAAAAATTTAATTTTTAATGTTACCCTTTTTATATAAACCAGTTTTTTTTAATTAAAAGAATGGCCTTTCTCTGATTGTTAGGTTTGAACTTTACTGATACTGGTGGTTCGATTTTGTTTTTTTGAGATATGGTCTTTGGTTTTTGGTTTGGTTTTGGTTTTGGTTTTGGGTTTTTGAAACAGAGTGTCGTTCTGTAGTTCAGGCTGGCCTTGAGCTCACTATGTAGCCCAGGCTGGTCTCAAACTTGTGGCCTTCCTCCTGTCTCAGCCTCCCAAGTGGTGGGATTACAGATGTGTGCCACCATGCCCAGCTAGCCTTTCTGTCAAGGGCTATTTCTTTGAAAGCATACTTTTTAAATTGCTGGCTAATAAACACCTTTATGCTTCTTACCAAAAAGAAAAAATCAAATATAAAGAATGAAATGAGCTGGAATATATATATATATATATATATATATATATCCATATATGTGACTGATTTCATAATCCATAATTTACAATAAAACATTTTAGAATTTGTTACAGCTGATTAGAAAGTTTCTACCTCCTGTGATTTTAAAAACACTTGTACATACAGTGAACATTCAGCAGATAATTATTGAATTAATTAAAATCTGCAGATTATGGTAAATGAATAGATTCCAAAAAAAACCAAAGTACTTTTTAAGACTATTTAAAATACATTTAACTCTAGTTACTGATATCTACATAAACAAAAAACTATTTAAAATACATTTAACTCTAGTTACTGATATCTACATAAACAAAAAAATAATCATTGTATAATGAAGAACCTTATTTCCAATACCCCTTTAACTTTCGTAAAGGAAGTAATCTCAGCCAGGAATGGTGGTACATACCTGCTAACCCCAGCATTCTGGGAGACTGAGGCAGCTGGATTGCAAGTTTGGGCCCAATTTGAGCACTTTAGCAACTTGACCAGATACTGTCTCAAAGTTGAAATAAAAAAGAGCTGGGGATGTGGCTTATTGCAGAGGCCCTGAGTGCAGTCCCCAGTACCACAAAAGAAAGACACAGACCAGACAGAGAATAAATAAATAAAACACTGAAGGAAGCCCTGCAGAAGGCCTCGGGACGCCGCCAGCCGCCCTACCGTTTTGTTCCTGAGCTGGGCTCTCTTGGCGCTGATTTTGCCGCGCTTCTTCTCCAGCTGCCTGCGCCGCAGGCTGAGCGCTCTCATCTCCGCAATCTCAACGTCCTGCGCCGCCACATGACAGCTAAGGCCCTGAATTTCTTCTGGACTTTCACATGTATCGTAATAGACAACTTCATCCTGCTTCTCTACAAACACAACATAGCCAGGGATTTATTTCAGTGACATAAGCACCCGCCTGGCAAGTGCAAGGTCATGAGTTAGATTCCCAGAACCAAAAAAATAAAAATATAACATGGCACTCTTATATTTTACTATAAAAATACAAAAGTATTTTAGTGTAAGGAAAGTAAAAATCACTTGCACCGTATGGCTACCCATATCGCTTAGAACATTTTCAGTATGATGGAAATACAATTCTAATCATATAATTCTAATAGTATTATCTAGTATTGTTATCAGGACGTCCCAGGGTTCCATTTTTAACCATTTCACTGTGATGAACACCTCTACATAAATCTTGGTGCACGTCCTTATTACTTCCTTAGGAGATGAATACCCAGGCTCTTGATGCCTCATGTCATAGTGCCCACCACAAGGGAAACTCCTATCAAAGCTCCTCATAACTGCCTCACATTTCATCTTAATTACACACTGATCTTTTTAAATACTTATAACATTTTAAATGCTTATTATAACAAATTCAAACCCTACAGAAGTGCATAAAGTAAAAAGTAAAATTTTATTCTTCCTTCCCCAAATCTGCTCAGACCCATCCTCAGAAAAAAAAACTTGAACAGTTTGGCATGTATCATTTTTCATAATACTTCCTACAAATGTAAAGCACTTAAAACTTGAAAGTGCTGTAAAAATAGTTTAATCCTAGCTATTCAAACATGTTCAAGATTTAAATGAAAAACAAAGGCTAAATTTAAAGCAATTTTAGGATGAAAAAAGGATTTAAATAAATGGAGACGCTTAATCTTGGCTGAGAAGAGTCAAAACTGCAGCGATGACAATTTCCCTAAAATAATCTCCAGTGTTAAGCACAACCCCAGTCAGTATTCCAGTGAGCTTTTTGTTCGTTTTGAACTTGCCAAACTCTGAAGTTAATCTGGAAGAATAAAGGAAAACAGAGACTGGAGAAGTCACATCTTACTAGACACTAAAATGTGCTTCCCAGGTACGGGACTAGGACAGTATAACCCATGCACCCAAAGGCACTCACAGGTCAGTGGAGGACAATAGTAACTCAGAGATCTAATAATTTTGCAGATGAGCTGCAGCTATGCAAAGCAGTAGGGGAAAATGTTTTTGAAAGTCAGTGATTGGGACTGCTGAAACTTTGGGGAAAAAAGTTAGATTCCCACCACAGTACCACGAACACTTCAATGATATCTGTAATATCAAAGGAAATATTCCAAAGAAGCCAGGCATGGTGGCAAACGTCTGTAATCCCAGCATTCAAGAGGCTGAGGCAGAAAGATCATTGCAAGTTCAAGACCAGCCTAGGCTACAAAGTGAGCTCAAGGCCAGCCTGAACTGCAGAGACCCTGTCTCAAAACAACAACAAAAAACAGTGAAAAACTGGAACTCACCATATATATGATATATATATATATATATATTTTATACACACACATATGTGTGTGTGACAGAGAGAAATGTACATTCACCTCAGCAGTTTATGGTACTAATAAATGTTTGGAAGCTAATGGCCACCACTTGAGCACTTGTAAGTGTAAAGATTAAAGGTAACTTGTATTAATCTTATGATGTCTCAGTAAATTTAGTATTACAATATTTATACACGTTTTTCTTCTCCTAATGTATATATATTTTTGGTGTGCATATATATATACATATATATACACACATAAATACATGTATATATATGTAAAATGGAATACTACACAATCATTAAAATTTTCCTTAGATGGAAACATGGTTATTATGCAACAAGTGAATAAAGGGACTAACTAGAATATATAGATTTGAGGTTTTAAAAATTGATCAATATTGATTTACATCTGGCATATAAGAAAGGCTACAAAGATATACAGCACACTCTTACTACTAAATATCCCTAGGTGATGGGCTTGGTTTTTGTTTTTGTCTTTTTGTTTTTGAGTTTGTTTGTTTGTTTTTTTTTGTCCTTTTGAGACAGGGTCTTGATATGCAGTTCCAGCTGGCCTTGAGCTCACTTCGTAGCCCAGGCTGGTCTCAGACTTGCAGTAATCCTCCTGCCTCAGCCTCCAAAATACTGAGATTCTTAGGAGTGTGCCACCGTGCCCAGCTCCTGTTTTGTTCTGTTTAACAATTAATATAGATTAAACAATACTTAGAGGAAACTATAAGAAATTTCAGCAGAAGTCATAGTTTACAATAAGTCAGTGCTCCCTTACATGCGTAAACATTTTAATCTTACACATAAATATTACCTTTTATAAGTCTTTTCACAGAATCCAACTTTGTAATAAGGAGTATTTCTTCATTTTTTAATATCTCAAACTTAATCTCATATATTTCCAATTGAATTTCATAACACTGTATTTCTAATTCATCTATGATACATATATTTTTTTTGTCTTGTCCTGGAAGATCTTCCATCTTGTTTTCATGAAAAGAGAAGAGCAAGTTAAAATAGTGTATTAACAACAAACTCTAGAATCCTTTCTATTCCTTGCTCAGTACTAACTACAATACACAGGGAAGAAACAGTTCCGTTTCTCATGGCCGGATAAAAATGCCCTATTCAGCATTCATTTCAGTACTTTATGTCATCTTTGAGACACATGAGAACATCGAGGGTCTGAGAAAAGCAAGGGCACGAACACTGTCGTGGGAGGCCACGTGTCCCACCTTGTCCTGGGTAAAGGTCAGCCCCAGTGAGACAGCACTGGGGCAGAGCCTCTGGAGGGAACTGAGTTCAGAGGCCTGCACAGCGGGATGAGCGCTCTTAATAGAGCTCTCTGCTTCTCTCCACGGGTTAGTGCTGAGCGAGGACTGTGCGCACAGGGCAAGCCAGGAGGAGGCCCTGACGTGCCTGGCCATGGACTCTGCGCCTGCAGAGCAAGTGTCTGTGTTTGAGCAATCCCATCTATGGCACTGCCTTACAGCAGCCCAGGCTGAGGAGGAAGGCTGTTTACAGTGTTCTGTCCTGAAGTCCTGAGGCTACAGGAAGAAGTGAGTGTGATCCAAAGATGAAGCCCCACTCCGAGTGTCCTTCAGGCGGCCTGGAACCAGGACATAGCTCAGTAGTGCCATGCTCGCTTAGCAAGTCCAGTCCCCAGCATCAGCACCAATAAAAGGTCTACTTAAAACCACCGCTGGATTGATTTTCAAGCATATTATCCCGCCCTCCTGGCTCAGTTATGAGGAAGTGAAACCTACAAGAGAGTAGTTCAAGAACAATTTGCCCAAGAGGGAACTTGAAGGCCAACCTTCCACAGTCCCTAAAGTCCCTACTAGAAGAAGGCACTGTGGTAAGTGAAGGAGTTCATTCATGATGCCTGGTGAGAAAGGTACAATTGAAGATAAAAGTGTATCTTAAAAATAAAGTTACGTTTCACCCTTTCTCGGCATACCTTTCTCTCGATGGCAGCTTTTTTGTGGTTTAAACACAACTCTTTGGCTCGCATGAGTTGCAGGGTCTCTTTGGCAACCATGAGCTTGAGGTTCTCTAACCTGGGGGTGGCGCTGGCCCAGGCAGCCTGGCCAAATCTCTTGCTGTCCGCTTCCATTTGTTTCTGCATTTCTGTTGGGTTATAAGTAATAAAATAAAATTACAACTCATTACAAAGGGCCGAATTTATCCTTCGCCAATCCTTTATTACCTGCAAAACATCATTTTTAAAATAAATTGTTTTGTCGTAACATTTTTTATTAGCACAAAAGTAATACGTGGTCACTGATATAAAAGCTAGGAAGTCAATTAAAAAATCAGTAGTAACTCATGATCTAACTTGCTGAGGCAGCTGCTGTTTACATTTTGCTGCATATAGGGCCAGACTGTTTCTGTGTCTTGCTAGATAAATGGGCTTACGGAGTTTGACAAAAACAAAAGTAGGACCATCATTCTGCTTTGCATCTTGCTTATGTCACTTAGTATATCAGGAATTCTTATTTAAAGAGTTGCAGGGGCTCATGCTTACTAGCTATGTAGTTCTGTTTTGGGAATGTGACATATCTTAGCAGACTGAAAAGCATGAAGAATTTCCTCTTTGGGGCTGTTATGGACAGTGCTTTCAGATGAATAGAAGTCCTTCACCCTGGCTCCAAGGCCCTTGGGATATGACCCTGCCTGGCTCTCCAGCCTTCTCCCTCAAGCCCATCCCCCTACCTCGGATCTGCCAGGCACATTCAAGCCAGAGGAACCTTTCAGGGGCTCTTCCTTCCCTTGGAAGGCTGTTTCTTCTCAGCCACTGTGTTCCCTTCAGACACTGAGGCAAGTGCTCGCTCTCAGTCTTAGTGACCACCCTGGTCAAGCCCAGTTTCTCTGTCAGAGGCTCTCAGAGCCCCGAGTCGCTCTTCTGCACCTTGTTTACTCCCCCTCATTCTCCCCGTGCTGAATGACCAAGAAACAAGGACTCCTGTCCCCTCCCCAGACAGTGCAGTGTCTGCAGATGAGATCCTCACAATGAGTTCTCAGTACCTACAAGACAGTGTGTGGCACCTGATGCTTTCAGAATTAGAGCTGCGTGTATCTTAGTATAGCATTATCACCTGTTAATGCCTTAACTGTCTCCTTAAAGTAATCCACAGTGGTATCTTGAATAGTGGCAACAGCTTCTTCGGCTTCGCTGGCCCACATTTGGGCTTCCATCTGCAGGGTAGCCACTCTCTGAGGACCCAAATTATCATTATCCAGTGATTTCTGAAAAAGAAGGGGCAGCAGTAATGTAGACCCATTAGAAAATTAAAGGACATTGGTCACTGGGTTGTTCAAATTACTGTTATCACTATTAGTTAGTGAATTGAGTTTACATCCTGAGTGTGTATGAATGGCCTCTGAGCCAGATCTGCAAGACACAGGGCTTCTCTGGGCATGAAGGGAAACTCACCTGCTTTTACCTTCTGTTACTAGACTAACTTTCCCTAGAGAGGAAAGATGCTGTGTTCTTGTCATTAACACAGTTGTTTAAATGAGATCAGCATTGCTAAGCACTCGGCCTAGGGCCTGGTCCATGGCATTCTAGCTATGGCTGTGGTTTCTTTGAGGGACATGACAAGTAGCTCCTCAGTACCATGTTTCTCCTTGAAAGAAAAAATGTACTATAAATGACAGTAGGATTATGTCATTTAGGAGTTCAAGATTTTGTTCCAGATTAAGACATATCCTCCTACGGACTGCATGTCTGTGTCCCCTCAAGTCATATGTTGAAGCCTCAATCCTCTGTGATGGTGTTACAGGGTGAGGCATTTGTGGGAAATTAAACCAGCAGGATGGAGTTCTCATGAAGGAGATTAATGCCTTTCTATACAGAAGATGAGGCACAAGAGCTCTCTATCTCTGCTCTTCACCACGTGAGGACATGGCTGGATGGCCGTCCACCACCAAGGGAACACAACCTTGTCAGACACTGCTCTTGCTGGTGTTTCAGTCTTAGACTTTCCAGAACCCAAAACTATGAAAAAAGTTTCGGTCGTTTATAACACACACACACACACACACACACACACACACACACACTCCAAACAATAGACTTTCAAAAGAACAAAGAGAACAACTTGATCCAGGCTGAAGTGGCCTGATTCCCTCTAAATGAGCACCCATCTTTAGAGTACAGTAACCTGGCAGGACCTCGAGCCTGTGTGGAAGATGGCCCCATGTGAAGCACAGAGCAGGAAACCTGTCTTCAGTTCCAGTTAGGGGGATTCAAGGTGAGACGCGTGACTTTTTTGGACTCAGGTCCTTCTGCAACCCTGTAATTATGATAATGCCTTTTCCTAGGGTCACATGCAATGAAGTCAGAATTTTGACAGTATTTACTAAAATTTAAATTACTGCATTAAAACCTCTGGCCCTGCTACTGAAATATTCATCCTGTTTCTAAGAAATCTACGTGTCCCTAGAGGTGGAAAATAAACTAAAGTAAATAAATGTATCCAAAAAATACATCAGAACAAAGGTATTTAATCTTTGAAGCAGGATTCTTAGGGTACTGAGGGGATGAACTGCCTGGGCCTTGTGCATGTTAAGTACATATTCTACCACTGAGCTGTTCCCCAACCCCAGTCCTTAAAATTAATTTTAAACATAAGCTCAGTGTATCTATAATATCATCTAAACATACAGATGAACCCTAACAAAATAAAAATGCCTGAAACATAACTAAAGACATAAATATGACAGTAAGTCCGATTAAAGAATATAAGGGGACGGGGCTAGGGGTTTAGCTCAGCGGCATAAGCACCTGCCTTGCAAGCAGGCGGTCGTGAGTTCGATACCCAGTACCGGTAAAAATGAAAAATACAAAAAAAAAAAAAAAAAAAGAATATAAGGGGATGTACCAAAATATTAAGCCTTCTTGAAGTTGCATGTTCTCGCTTATTCCTAAGCGGTGTCAGTAAAAACTGGAAAAACTTAGTTGCTGCCAGAACTAATTCCCGATATACTTCATCTTCTTTTTCATAAAGTTCCATTAATGCTACCATTGTATTGGTTTTTCCATGTCCTTGAAGAATCTAGAAGGCAAAATATAAAAGTCAGTACTGGTGTTATTTATAAAATCGCACCAAACAAAACTAAATTAAAGAAACCTAGCTTGGGCATGGTGGCCCACACCTTTAATCCCAGCACTAGGGAGGCCGAGGCAGGAGGATCGCTGTGAGTTCAAAGCCGGACTGAACTTCATAGTGAAACCTTGTCTCAAAAAGAAAAAAAGAAACCTAATGTTCTCAACCTTAATACATCAATTTTAAATACTGATTAAATATGAAAATGTTGTCATGCAAAGTGTCAAATAAAATGGTATATCCATGACAAAATATCTGCCATCAGTGAGCACTGTATTTTCAAAGACAGCTTAAAAAGATGAGGACTTTTGTCCTATAAAACAAGGAAAAAGCGGAGCACAACATTTTACCTTAACATTGTACTAAGTTCACCAAGACGAGGGCCCCAAAGAGACAAATGTTAACAGCAGCTATCTGCAAGTCCTGTATGGTGAGAGGTATGTTTTCATTCAACATTTCTGACTGTAAAGAAGTATACTTCTTTCTAAAACTCATGAAGACATTCTAGAGATGTCATCAAGGACCTCGAAAACTGACAGACCTCCATCAATGACCTAGAAATTGACACCCTTCTTTGCCCAGTTCATATCCTGCCTGGCTGCTGGAGACCACTATGAATCGGCTCTGAGCAGTTAATCTAAAATTAACTAATTGGCTTTCTGTGTTTATCTGTGAGTCTGTCCTAGGCTTCGGCCCCTTGCCTGGAGATGGGCAGCAGATTCATAGTAAGTGAACCTCTATGAATCACTGGTCCTGGCTGAGGCCTGTAGTGGCCTGTGAAGCCAGAGATACCGCAAAGGGCAAGACAAGGTCACAGCTGAGGACACTTGGCTCAAACATCAATTAAGTAGATAAGAGACTGCAGCTGCAGGAATTAATCCTACGGTCTCACTCCTACCATGTCTTCATGAAGACAAGATGGTTCTCCTAAACTGACATGATTTATTACTTGAAGAGGTCTTTGAAGTGACTCCCAAGGTCCTGCTCATTGCCTGCGCTTGCCTCAGTTTCCCCACCCCTTGTTTTGGACCTAATTAAAATGGACAGTCCAAAGAAGTCTTTGTCTTAGCCCTCAGAGTCTTGAACTCAGCTAAAGGGTTCTGACCCTCCTGGAGCCCTAAAATCATACCACTTGTCTCATTTTATTTAAACCTCTGCTGTACATCCATTTGGGAGATTGGGGATCTAGGTCAGGACCTGATACCTGGCCACCAGCAGAGCAGACCCATTTGTTTAACCTGCACTGCTGTTCTGGTGCCTGCTAAGCACAGCTTCTAATATAGGGCAGAAAATATAGTGGCCATCTTATAACCAGGTGAGCCTGTCTGCTACGAAATTGCTCTCCCCACTGAAGAAGAGAGATAGGAGGGGGGAAAGGGCAGAGTGGTGACTGGTTGTCTCCAAGATCTGGAATACAGACATTCGAAAATTACAACCTGGTGCAGAAAAAGCAGATCAGTAGGAACCCAGAACAAACTGAAAAGAAAATTTAGAAACTACAGAGGCGTTGGAAAGCAGGTCCACAACACAGAGGAAAAATTGAAACAGCTGTGGCTCTCTCCCCAGCTCCTGTGGCTCATAGAGAGAGACGAGAAGGGCTCCCCACTAGCAAGCCAGGGGAGAGAATCACAGTCAGGGAGAGGCTAGAAAAGATCCCCAGAGAAGCTGAAACCCAGGGCAGGAAAGGCACTCCCCCACCCCACCTCCGGAAGCGAGGAGCCAGGCCCCTGAGCAGCTCTGTGTGAAGGGCCTGCAGGGTTTCAGGCCTGAACCTTTGCCTGCTCCCTGCATCCAGCACAAGTCCAAGGGCTCATGTCTTCCCTGTGCAGCAGCATGGGCAGCACAGGAAGTGCACAGGGTACACAGAGGGACTCTGGAACAGGGGGCACCTCACACACCCACAGGCCGTGAGGCGGGGTGGAGAAAAGCAAGACTTTCTGGGCTCCCAAAATGCAGATGCAGGAAGGAAATCGCTTATTCTAGAGATACAGAGAAAAAGTTTTGGTTTTGGATTTGTTTTCTTCTTTTTCATCTTTCCCTCTTGTTTTATTTTTCTTTTTAATTTTTAAATTTTTATTCTCATTATTTTTATCTTTTTAAAAACTTCTATTTTTTTTCTGCTACCTTTATCTAATTCTGTAACTGTCCTTCTAATACAGAAGAGAATCCTGCGCTCCACTTTTCTCTCCTCCTTCTCATCTCCCGTTGTTCAATTTTTCAAATTTTTCTTTCTGCAGTCTTGCATTCCCAATCCCTGTATATTTAATAGTATACATGAGCTTTTATGGATCTTTAAATTGTGAACTATGTTACCACTGAGTCCTTTTCTGTCATTAGTGGAGATATGGTCATTGCGTTTAGCAGGTATTTGTTGAATATCAGCATTTGGTTTGTTTTAGGGTTTATACTAAAGTAGGTTTATTTTCTAGGGTTAAGGGTGGTACATTTTGAGTTCTTATGGTATGGCAGTAACCAGTTTGTCTTGGATGATATTACTTTTGCTGACTTACTTGATATTGCCACAGTCACACAGTTTAGCAATAGTTTTTCTCTATATGCCAAAACCTGGAGTATCTTTATGACACTGACGAAACTTCAGTCTATTCCCAGAAAAATGGGTGCTGAGCCAACACATAATAAACACAAGTGACTGGGACACAAGCAAAAGACTAGGTGAGCCACACACTGAAAAATCAGGCTAAATAAAGAGCTTTCCACACTAGCAACACAGTCTTTCCACTATAAACACATGTATATCTAAGCACAAGACAAAACTAACTAAAAACCACAAAACAATAGAAACATGAGAAGACACGGCAACATAATGTCTCCAAAACCTCCCAACTCACCTAATGGGCCTTGAGAAAGAAAGCCAAAGCCACACATGTGCCTAATCATTTGAAAGGATAACAGATCAACGACAGCGTCCTCCCTGGGCTAACATAAAATATAATTCATCAGGTAATGGAACTAATAATCCGGGAGTTTACAGAAGACACAAATAAACGACAGGATACAAAATATGAATGACAAGTTTAGCAAAGAACTAGAAGCCATGAAAAGATTTCAAACAAAAATCCAGGAGATTATATTGAATAAGTTATATTGAAAGTAAGGGCAGCAGAAGTGACCCATTTGGGGACAGAATATCAGATTAAGAAGATAGGGATGTTTTTCAAGAACAATTACTCAGAGAACAGATCACTTTAGAACAATGGGAGAATACATTCAGCTGCTGTGAGAGGACACAAAGGTGACTAAGATTAATTGGAATAATTGAAAAACTAGAAGACAGCACAAAAGCTGTCTTACAGCTTACAAAGATACCTGTTTACAGAAACAGTAGCAGAAAACCTCCCAAATATTGAGAAATAATTAAATATACAAATAAGTAAGGCATATATACCCCAAAAAAGCCACACAATCAAAACAGAACTTCTCCATGTCACATCTGTAGTCAAAATACCCGCCGTCCAACACAGGGACAGAATTTTAAAAACTGTTAGAGAAAAGCGATAAACTCCTAATAAGATAAACTTAATTAGAATTATAGTGGACTTCTCAACACAAACTTTAAAGGCCAGGAAAGCTTGGAGTGAAGTATTTCAAGCTCTAAAAGACAACTTCCAATCCAGACTTACATATCCTGCAAAACTAACTTTCAAAATTGATGGAGAAAAAAGGTATTTCCATGGCAAAGAGCACCTTAAGAAATGTATGGCCCCCAAACCAGCAGTACAAAAATTCTGAAGGATACTCTTGGAAAGGACAAGGAAGCCAACAGTGCCAAAAATCTAACAGAATGAATGCACCAGGCAGAGTGAGCAGTTAAGCAGAAGGAGGATGAAAAAAATGGAAATCAGCCATAGAAAACGATGCAGTGACAGGAAGAAGTCAGTAGTTTTCAGTAATACTCTCCATGTGAATAGTCTCCATCCTCCAATCAAAAGACACAGATTTAGCCTGCAGCAGTGGCTTGCTCCTATAATCCCAGCAGTTGGGAGGCTGAAACAAGAGGGTCACCACCAGTTTGAGACCAGCCTGGGCTACATAGTTCAAGACCAGCTTGAACTACATAGCAAAAACAAAAGAACACAGATCTTCCAGGAGAACATGGCGGACAAATAACAGCAGCCACGGAGGCTCTCTGAGATTACCAGCTTAGAATCCAGGAGCAGTGCCGTGTGAGGAGTCCTAAGCGAGGGGAGATGTACCCTGCCGACCCAGGAACAAACTAAGCTGAGAGAAACCAACTGGAAATGCAATCCTGATGCTATAACAGGAACAGATAAAATCTCAGCATGGAAGCTGGATTCCACGCCATTGGAAGCTGCGATTTGAATTTTCTGCTGCTGCTACTGCGTCCCAATTGGCACAGCAGAGAGAGGGAGAGAGACTCACGAAAGCTCTGAGAGCGGGAATCGGCGAGCCAAACGGCGTTGAGAGCAGGACTGGCAGGGAGCCCTGCATTGACCTGCAGTGAGTGAGAGAAATGGGGACCCTTTCATAGACTAGGAGGCTCCAACAGAGGACATTCTGGGAATGGGCAGACTAGCCGGAACAAGGCCCTGCAGTAACTTTAGTTGCATATTCCCCTCTCATGTGGGATTGGTGGGGAGTGCTTGGCCTGGTGATGCCGTGGACTAAGATCCAGTAGGCTAGCCAAAATCAGGTCCCTGCACCTGGTGGTGCACCCTAACAGTTGAAACCTTCACTAGGTTGATCTGGAGGGACAGGCCCAGCAGAGGCTGCCCAGGTCTGTGTCTCCTAGTACACTGCAGTGGGCGGGAACACCTAGCTGGCGGATTCAAACAAACTGTAACAGACAAAGAGAAAAAAAAAAAAAAACAAAACTGGGCCTCCTACATACGCTTGTATGGAAGGAACAAAAAGTATGGGAAAAGGGAGCAAGAAGAAAGGGTCCTCAGTCCCCAATCCTGAGAACACTG